CAGAGATTAGGAATATGTGGGATTTCATTTTTTAACAAATGTCTCCTTCTGGGTCTAAAATTGATTTGAGAACAACCCAGTCAATTTTGGGTTCAATTCCCAAAATGTCCTGCTGTCCCAGGCTCTTCATACCAAATGCCTGGTGGTGAGAGGGTTAAGATAATATTCAATATTAATATTAATATTTTGTCCAAGACTAAAGGTAGCAATATATTCCGCTTTCACCTCACCAACCAAACATTTTCAACCCTAAAATACCATCCTCTTGATTTTACCAAAATGTAGGTATCAACCAACAACAGCAAAACAGCAGCAGTTTGCAGGGCATTACAAAGTCATCTAAGTGGACCATACTGTCCAGCCACCCTCACCTTAAGGACACCATTACACACAATGCTCTCCACAGCAAGATCAGGATTTTTGGTTCAGGAGCTGAAGAAAACTTAAACTAGTCGCTAGCTATCCCCCTTGGCCAGCAAAGTGGCTAATTGTTAAATTTTCCAAGCTGTTCGCCACCTGTTTCAAAGGGAAGCATTCCCAACAAGTACTAGCTGTTGCAGCAATGAGAGAGTGCTGAAAATGTTGCTTAAATCCAAAATCCAGAAACTTTGCCAGTAAAAAATTACTTTAAGGGAAAATAAATTAACCTTGATTGCTTGAATCAGCACCAGGAGGCTGATTTTGTAAAGGCACACACATCTGAAATTACTTTGTTGCCATGTGGAGTGAGAAAGTATCTATTTTCTTTGTTTGTCAGAGAAATTGGGGTTACAGTGATCCTTAATGTAAAGAACATAGATTTTTCTACAGCAGGCCTGTGGTCTAAAGGCACCTGGTTGCCAGAGGTGACTAACTTTTCAATTCAGGCAACTGAAAAAAAATTGCTGATCGCCCAGCAAAAAAAAGAGGGCAAAAAAGTGCAACATGCTGTTGTCTATTTATTGTGTTAACAATGCATCGCTAAAATTTCCTTTGACACCAGATACATGCGCTTGTTTACTCTCACACGCTCCAATCTGAAGTTCCATCCCATGTGATTTTTAAAACAAATATCTAACACTATAATATCTGACAAGAGACATGAATGTCCTAAATATTAGTACCATTTCCTGAAATATCATCTCAGTTTTCCATTTGGATCATTTACATTATTATTTTAAACATTTTCCAATCTGCGCAGTGTGAATTGCTATTTTTAAAAAGTCTTTGTTTATGCAAATTTATTGCATTTTCTGGTTAGCATAATTTGATAATTTGTTTGCATGGAGTTATGCTCAGTCTAAAGTTCCTCCAGCACAAGGCTTTGCAAAGATCACTTACTATGAAGACACCAGAGTAAGCAAGTTTCAGTGGAATTGGCATAACTGGTTTCCTTGGTTAAGAATCAACACCCGTTGTATATCCACAGATGAACAATGATGTAGTTTACCCATACCCCCAAGTACAACTACCCCATCGTGAGGTCTACTAAATTTACTGTAATGTGTGTTCCCAGAACCCACAGTCATCAGCCCATACCAACATTTCCAAGGAGAGTGGAACCAAAGTTTTCAAGATGGAAAATTTGAAACACGAAAAAAGCCAAGTTCATGTTAGTATCCTCAAAGCCAAGAAAGCATGCAAAAAGCCTGAAGAAACTTCCCTTGTCAAGCCTCTTCACGAGTCAATGAGTGCTAATGATGTTATATTAAAAGGACTTCGACAGCCTTCACTGTTGTAGCACTTGAAAGGCCCTTTTTATGATTTTGAAACTATCTGCACACTTTAAAACATTAATGGAGCTGACCTTAGGAAAACATACACAACAAGAAGTGCCTGCAGTGAATTTTTGAGCCACATCAGTGATGTGATGAAAGAGGAGGTTGCAGCCAAGCTGAGACAAAGTAATTTAATTACAGTTTTGGCTGATGGTGGAAGTGATTTTGGCATTTTAGAAGTCATCCTTGTGTTTGTGAGGTATCTTAACTGGGAACTTGGCAGACCAGTGAATTTGTAACTAGTGATTCAAGAACCTAAGTCAGGGTCTGGTTCTGATATCCCTGATACTAGAAGCACTTGTATGACAAAAGTAACAGGACTGGAGAAATGTGAATGGAAGGAAAAGCTGGCTGCATTTAGAAGTGATGGTTGTGCAGTCATGACTGGTACTCAAAATGGCATTTGGGGACTTCTTCAACAAGACCCATCAACACAGAACTTTCAGAAATATTGGTGAGGTGCTCACATGGTAGAGCTTGCTTTGTGAAGTCATTAGAACACAATGACAAATTTCATAAGCTCTAAAAAACACTTTAAAGTTTGCACAAAGAATACCATTATAGCACGAAAGCTCTCAGAGAATTGAGGGACCTGTCACAAGCTCTTGCAAAGAAAATCTCAAGGCCACTTAATTTTTTGGGTGCTTGGTGGCTTCCACATCTGCAAACTGCTTTGACAACCCTGTTCATAGGACTTAAAGTTCTTTTGATACATTTTCAAAATGCAAAAGAGGGCAGGGTAGGATCAGCTGGAAGACAGGGCAGAGCGACTTTTTCTGTCAAGTTTCTTACATCTTTGAAGGACCTGTTGTTTATGCACCTGACTTGGGACATCATGGTGGCTGCAGCACACCTTGATAAAGTGTTCCAAGCTGACTTCACTACTATTACCTAGGCAAAGCATAAGTAACCAATTTCAAAATGTGATTGCTAGGCATGGAGAAGATGAATGGGTTAAGACTCCAAAATTTCTTGAAGGAAAAGGAAGGAACTGAGTCTTTCAAAGAGATCCCCATCATTAGAGCAGATAGCGATCTCGAGAGTTTGAGGCAACAAGGCAGAAAGTGTTAGACAATGTAATAAAAAATGTGGAGAAACAAGTCAACAAGACCCATCAACACAGAACTTTCAGAAATATTGGTGTGGTGCTCACACAGTAGAGCTTGCTGTTGTGAAGTCATTAGAACACAATGACAAATCTCATAAGCTCCAAAAAATACTTTTGAGTTTGTACAAAGACTGCCATTATAGCCTGCAAGCTCTCAGAGAATTGAGGGACCTGTCACAAGCTCTTGCAAAGAAAGTCTCAAGGCCACTTAATTTTTTGGGTGCTTGGTGGCTTCCACACCTGCAAACTGCTTTGACAACCCTGTTCATAGGACTTAAAGTTTTTTGATACATTTTCAAAATGAAAAAGAGGGCAGGGTAGGATCAGCTAGAAGACAGGGCAGAGTGACTTTTTCTGTGAAGTTTCTTATACATCTTTGAAGGACCTGTTGCTTATGCACCTGACTTGGGACATCATGGAGGCCGCAGCACACCTTGATAAAGTGTTCCTTCTTGACTTCACTAATATTACCCTGGCAAAGCATCATTAACCAATTTCAAAATGTGATTGCTAAGCATGGAGGACATGAATGCAATGGGCTAAGACTCCAGCATTTCTTGAAGGAAATAGAAGGAACTGAGTCTTTCAAAGAGATCCCCATTATTAGAGCAGATAGTGATCTCGAAGAGTTTAAGGCAACAAAGCAGAAAGTGTTAAACAATGTAATGAAAAATTTGGAGACAGGTACAGTTTCTTAGAGAACGGCCCTGTACTGGAAGCTGCTGCCGTGTTGGATCCAGATGTCTGGCCAACAGATCAAGTTGAGCTTTCTACGTATGGGAATGTAGAAGTACTAGTGCTGGCAGACTATTGTAAGGATAACTTGGCTATTGTCAACAACTGAAGTTGAAAGAGGATTTAACAGCATGAATAAAGTTGAGACATAATCACAGTCAAACATGAGTCAAAGTGACTTGGACAGCGTCCTGAGGATTGCAATCAAACATCATCCATCCCAAAAGCACAAAGACCTCAAGAATTTCTCAACTCAGGCCTCCTTCAGAAGACTGTCCACTGGTTCTGAACCTCATGCATTTGACCTCAAGGAAAATAAAAGGTTGAGACCCACCTTGATGCAAGACATTGGGCTTAAGAAAATATCCTTAAAGCTTTTTCAGTATCATCATCATAATAACTGTTTTACATTTATTAGAGAACATTTTGATTATTGGACAGTTTCAGTTGAGACATCACCTATTTGTTTAAACTTACCTACATGTACATCCATAAATGTAGTTAAACATATGTAGTATTATGCCATAGAATGTAGAAAAATGTCATTTGTGTGATAGCCACTGGATTAACCTTAAGTTTTCTTGTTCACGTTGATGAGCTCAGAATCAAATGAATGTTCTGATTACAGTTTTAATACAATTACTTTATACGGTTTTGTTTTCACAAAACTTCCTTGTTAGTGTGCATTTGTACATATAGTCTATCATAGCAAAAAAATGTGCAAAGACATTCAGTGAGTAATTCTTGAAGACCATACTTCTAAAAAAAAAGGTATGTCATATTTGATCATTTTATTCAGTTAACTATTCATTTTGAAAGTATCTGTTTTATAGCTAGTTGAGTTTCCCTGGGGTAAAGAGTTTCATTGCTACTATTAGGTCTTATTAATATCATAATTATTACTGTTTTCAACAATCTTCAATTTTCAATTGAGTTGAAGATAAGAACTCTCAATTTCAAAGGATTGGTGGAGCTGGAGGATCAAATGGTAGCAGATATTTCAAGAACAAGACAACTCCCTCTCTACCATAAAATAAACGAATAAATTGCGGTAGATTCGAAGTGATAGAACGTGAGGGATCGCGCAGGAATCGTGGATAAACAAACCTCACGACGCAAAGTGCATCATGGGTAATCAGGAAAAACAATGTTTAGTATCAGCTACAGCACTTACAAATACTTTAACTTTGTAATAAAAAGCACTTCATTATCACCCTGAATTGGCGAAAATTCAGTGTCAGAATCTCGAACAAATAAACGAAAAAAACTGGAACAGCCTCCGAAAATGCACCTAAATGCACTTAAATGCACTGTGACCGCACCACACTCCATGCGTTAGTCCATCTAACGGTCCAAGACAATGCGGCCTTATCCAAAAAAAAATTGAGGCAGAACCTCGAAACTATGGCCATCTGGTCCGAACTTCAGGTTTCTGAGGCGATATTCCGAATTCGAGCTAGCGTTTCATTCAGCTCAGCATGTTCCTCTCAACGTTTGAAATGAACAAATGCCATGTGACCACGTCTTTCGATTTAAAAACTTGGCTTAATAAAGGAGGTGAAATCGATTGCCTGCACTCCGAATATATAACATGGTTTAGACTTCTATCAAATGTTTAAGAATTGAAAGGAATGTTAGCATACTAAACCTAAAACTGATAGCGAACCGAGCTATAAGATGTTAACCAACTGACCGACGGCGGCAAACTAACAAACCTCTTAAGACTCTCAAACGTGTCGTTAACGAAACCAATCAAAAACGAAACGGCCGTTAATCTACTCACCTCATTCAAGCTCCTTTAGTCGAATCCGCTCTTTCTCTGCGAACTTGTTGACAACCGAGAGGGTCAAAGCGGAGCTTTAAGTGCGTCTTGGTATGTGGTCCGGCCGAATATTCTCGTACATTTGACCTGCACTCGTTAGGGATCACGGTAAAGTTGTGACGTGCGATGGTGACAACTTCAATGACAGGCGAGAGAAGACTGGAGAAAAATCCAAGAATCCGCCCACAACAGCACAAAAATTCCAAATTGACTAGAATTTAATTTTAAAAAATTGATATTTTCCAATCTTTATTGTCTGATCTGGTATAATTGGACACCAGCTGCAGCTCAACCAATTCAGTCGAAGGCCGATTAGCACAATCAGGTTAAATAGTTAATCCGGGTTCGTAAAGTTCTTTGTTCAAAAGCCTTTATTTGGATAATTTTCTCTAATCTTGTTAGAGCATCCAATCATCATATTGTAAACGAAGAGTACTTTATTTTATGTGTACTTGGATAGACACTGTGAAGTGCTACCGTTCGTTTCTCTGATTGGATGAACTACATATTTTCGCAGTAATTCGCTTCCAATCTGTTAATACAAATGTGAAAAAATCTCAGTATGTATCAAATAAAAACATCATACTATGGAAAGTAGTCGAACGACTTTTATTCCCTCATTGCGTTGCATCTAAAAACCCACGCGTTGGCTGAACTCATTCGTTCGTCTTTTTGATGCATCGCAACTTGAGAATAAAATCATTCGCGCGCACGTTCCATGAAATAATCTGTCTATACTTAATGTTCTTTTATAGCTTTCAGAGCTGAAATCAGATGACTCCAGCCCCAGATTATCATAACCCAAGTTTAACCAAACTGGCCCTAGAGAGTTGTTTTCTGAAGAGAAATAGAAAAGGTAGGACAAACTTGATAGAGTCTTTTTTTGACAAACTACAAGTCTTGTGTTTTCCAGTTTTATGAAGAAAATGTATCTGCTTTTCCCAACTTGACACAAAGACAAGAGATCTACATTCAGAGAATAATATATTAATATATTTTCATATGAAATATCATTTACGTTATAAATAGTTGTACAAAAGCACAAAACTTTATTATTCATTAGCATAGCTGCTCCAAGGAACAGGACACCTTCACAGAAAATTCTAGTGGCGAGTAGAGTTAAATACTAACATTAAGAAAGGATCTGCAACTTGATGGCATCAGAAAACTTTGCCTTTTTTCCAATTACTTATTATGAAACAATAGACTAAGAATTTATTAATTTCAACTTAAATTGCATTTTCATCAGCAGTTTTACAGTAAGCTTTTCAACTGACCCTTCCAGAAAGATTTGATATCCAGCTTCCACTAAAATTATTCTACAGATGGTCTATATTTGACCAGTATATCCCTAAATCCAGCATTTAACTGAGAGACAATAAAGACTAGGGAACAAGTAGTTAAGAAACGACCCAGAGAAAAGTCACAGCAACAATTCCTTTGAGTGACAGAAAACTAATGAGAAATCTTCATCTCTATGTCACAATTTCATTGCAACAACAAGTTCACAAAAATTCAAATTGGTTTCAACTTATGCAATTCTTGCAGGAATAAAATAAGTGACCACAATTTATTTGTATACAAAGCAATTTGATATTATGATGATGTTACAGCATCCTAGTTGCACTGAATACTTTGTAAAACAAACTATCCTGTTTGTGGGATTTGTTCCCCTGGGCCTCATGATGACATTTCTTGCGTTATGCTGACCTTTAAATTTAAAATATTGGGACATTTGTGAGGTCTTTAGATGATTTCAAACTGGACAAGAGTTATAAAATTTATGTACAAAGGTGCAAGTAGTTATATCAAACTGTAACACATCAGCATAAAAAGAGGAGAAAATCACAAAAAATTTTTTTTCAAGTTTGTTTTTTCACATATATATATATAAGCTATAGATTTATTTAAAAGCTGTGAGCTTTCATTCCTGGCTTTTGTGGCAGGCATGAGCTTATGTTAAGGAAACAACTGACATAAGCATCAGTGAGGGTGCACAAAAAATCCAAGAGTATAAATATGGGGGAGAATGTGAGTAAATAGCACCCAAAAAATTGTGGAAATTTCTGAAAATTCAAGAGTCATGTTGAACACTTAAAGGCTTTCAGATGCAAGATAAGTATGTTAGAACCAACTTGCTAATGTAATAGAAACATTTGCTCATGCAGTCTGATCATCCAGACAATGAGACTACCCTGGGTTCGAAAAACTTACTGTATGTAATACAAAAACTGGTGAGGAAGGAATTTGTTGTGTCAGTAATGTGTCTAACCAAAATAAGAATTCATATTCATTTCACAGTGCCTTACTGTAGTTCTTATTGTTGCTGCTATCCTTGACATTGAAATTCATCTGAACCCTTAAACACCCAAAGAGGAATGTCATTTGAAGCCATTTATCCTGAAAATATGGCAATTCAAAAGACAGAGAAAGACAACAGCCACAGAATTTCTTGATAAAGGAAAAACAACTTGATTATCTTAAGGAAAAGTGTGCCACAACTAGAAGAAACAATTAATTAGACTTTGGAATTTTTAGTGTTAAATATCTGTAATTTTTCTTGCACTGCAAGTAAACACCAAGATTATTGACAAGAGATAAGTGTGGAGTCGAACCAACTATTCCTAAAGTGTTCCTTCAACATCTAAAACTTCATCCAGTTCAGATGCCATGGAATTGAGCAAAGCCAAAGTAGCAGTCACATCTTCTTTTTCACATTCTGTGTCCATCTGGGAATCAATGCTTAAGTCTGCTGACAACTTGTGATTTCCACCAGAGCTTTCTTTGCTTAGTGAATCCTGTTTATCTAAATGATCTTGCGAAGATAAACTAGACACATGGTTGTTGACAGAGCTGGTAGAAACTAATGTGGGCGTTCTTGTAGAAAGAAGTGATGATGATGAGGATGAAGTTTCAGTCTTTGGTGACAAAGAATTTGAAGAGTAGTTTAACGAAGATGGAGAATAATTTACACTTAAAAGAGAAGAAATTTTAGAAGAAGCCTCAGACACAGCATTTTTCATACTATTGACCACATCACTTTCAGTAGTTGATTCCACAAAATCCATAGTTTCATCAGAAGTGATATCTTTTGTTACAGTGTCATCTGTTGCTGTGTCATTTGATGACTCAATAGTCTGCTTCTCCTTTTTGATAATATTAAGGATTTCTTCAGGGTTTTCTGAAATGAAATATCAATATGATAAATAACATAAAACTTAGGAGTTACACAAGTACAATCAAAATTAAATGGAGATTGTCTGTAGTATCTGTTTTATTTGAGTCTTTGTTCAACTTGAAGCCAAGTAAGTAAGCTATGAAATAATATTTATATGGGACTGTACCAAAAATCTGAACATCATTCGTGAGAAAGAAAGTTACAAACATTATAGGACAGTAAACTACTTTGCTTGCTTCCATCAACAGCCTGCAAAAAAAACATGATAAATACCTTTGGCTATTTTTCTTTCATCAGCCAGCAATGAACGTTCATTAGTCAAGAAAACTCTGTAGAGCATGACCATTTCAGCTGAGGGATGCTCCCGCTGCATGAGAAAATTTTAACACAAATATTCACATAATTTACTTTTCTTAACCAATTTAAATTATATCAAAGAACATTCAAGCAACATGTAATCTAGTTCAATGGTGCCAGAATGCTCAGAATTCCAAATGTGTGTGCCAGTGAAGTGTATTGAAACCTCACAGACAAAATTCCTCTTTATGGAACATTAATATGTTAGCAAACAATTAAGCATCAGTTATATTGCCACCAGTTCCCATCTGTGGTACATTCATCAATGTATGAAACCCTTGGGAAGTTTAGAGAGAACTCAAGAAGCTACAATCAGCATCTGTTTGAAGATGTTCTGTTTATGTGTAGAATAACATTTCTGTTTCTACCACACTTTAAATCATTGACAAGACCCCCCTCCCCTCTCCCATTTAGAGTTGCCTGTATGTAGCTAAAGGCTTGTGGAATCACGATACAACACTTTTTTATTGATAAGGGGAGGGGGGGGGTTTGGGGGTTGGGGGAGAAGGGGCAAAAAGGTTAACTTAACAAGAGCAAAAGAGATCAAATTGAAGTAATAGGGGTTGAAAATACCATTGTGTAAACAATTTTGTTTCTTATTGTAGAGTTCCTCTACACGGTGCCTCAAGCAACTACTGTACGGACATCATGCTCTCTAAATTTCCTGTATCTTTCGTATCTCAATACATGCACGCTGGTGCATGAGCCACCTACTAGCTGCACAGCATAATAACAGGTCTTGCAAATTTGAAGTGTTAATGATATCCATTTTCAACAGGTTGTGATGCTGTGTACATGACAATAAGTTTTGTGTTCTTAAATTAAAAAATGTCTTTAACACAGTGTGACAACATCACAAGATTTTGGCTTTAACTCTTGTTAACCATAGCAATTAAATTACTAAATCCAGGTACTCATTCATTGATACCGTATACAAGTTTTTTTTAACTCTTTAAGCCCCTAGAGTGATTAGTAACTATTTTCCCCATCAGTATCACCCCTAAAACAAACAGCGAGGTCATGAGAATAAAGGAAATGATCACCAACTAAAGATGCTCTTGATTGTTCTACAAATTCTCTTTGTCAATATCATGGGAAATGTATAGAAAAGAGTATGGAGAAAAGTAGACTGATGCTAGGGTGTAGAAGGGTTAACTGTGCTGGTCAGTTCCTAAGAACCAACTTGAGGTAGTACTTGAGATTTCAGTGTAATGATTAAATTTTTAAGATTGGTTGAAAGGTTGTTTCTGCACCCAAACATTCTTTCTCACTTTCCAAGGTGACCAAAGAGCAATTTGTCAAATAATATCATCAAATTTTCAAGAAGAAAAGTAATTTGAAGAAAAATATATCAGCTAGGGGATGTTTACTCCTACATCAAGTTCCTCTTGCTAAAATTATAGGAAATGTTTTGAACATACTGAGTAAAATTGATGTTTAGTGCTGAAGTAACAAGGGATGTATGAATAAAGATAGAGAGTGAATAAAAAGACACCTTACCATACTCTCATCATATAAGAGTTGACGATACTTCTCCATCATTTTTTGACTTCGTTTCACCAGTTGGGTTGAGACAGCCCCAAAAAGAGCATCAGCTGGGTACAAAAAGTAGGATAAGAATGAACACAAGGAAGCAATCAACATAATGCTATGTACATGAAAACCTGGCTTACAAACCAGAAGGCCTATCCCACCAGATCATATCCCATTCTTAGTAGCATAGAGTGACTGGAAGTATCACAACTTCCCCCTACATGTTTATGGAATCCCAATCTGTTGCAGGGTTACCAGCCAGCATTAAATCACAATCCCTTGCTACCCATCACTATTCCTAGATGGAGAAAGGCTTTGTGAAAGTAAATTGAGTCTGGCCATAGAATAAAAGATGTAGGCCCTGCCTGACTCAAGTGCTTAAGCCACTTTGCCACGTGGTCCTATAGTTTATATCATTTTTAGTCTTATCAACTGAGTTAATCATGCAAATTGGCCACCATAAGGAGTTTCCAAAGCTGATGTTTCAAGCATTAACCCTTTGTCCAAGCAAAGTTACACATCACACAAGACTCAGGTTGCATAGACAATGTACCATTGACAAAAAAAGACAAAAAATTCTTAGCTATTTCAAAGAAGTGCATTGTTTTGGACTACCTCACTGCTTCTTGTCACCTGTCACATTGACAAACATGCTTGGAAATGATACTTATAATAGGAATGCCCAGACAGGATATGAAGACTTGCTTAAGTTCATGGAAGTTCAAGGGTAAAATTGTAAAAAATGTACAATAGACTTGACAAGGAGAAAGGATTTTGGTTCAAACCAAGGGTTTGAGTTAACAGGAGACAATTGTGTGTTGTCAAGACTGACCTTTCTGAACATCAGCAGGAGTAGGACTTGGATCATAACACACATGGTAAGGTGTTAGTCTTTTAATAAGGTCTTCATGGGTACTAAAAGGCGTTTTGACATCAGGTCGAATAACTGCCTGTTGATCTTGAGTTAGGCCTTGTTTTAATCTAAATGAACAAGTTTAAGAATGAAAATCACTAGGAATTTTATTAATATTTATTGCAACAATAATGGAAAGTACTTGAAGATCTCCATAGCACAATTGCCAGTTCCGGAAAATAACTTTCTCATTCAATTAGTCACTGAACACATTTTTTATGCTTTTTGATCCTCTCTATATAAAATACACAAGTTAAACATAGAACTTGTGTATCATGGCTTATCTTTCCTCAAGTTTCTCTGAAATGAAATGCTTATCAACCTTTGCAACCCAAATTTCCTTTCCATCTTTTCAACAAGAAAAAAACTAAAGATACTTTAGATAACAAATAGATCACTCTGTATTCACATTTAACCATCTGACCCTCAAGAGTGACTAGTGTCTAATTCCTCCTTATAATATCACCGCTATATTATATAAATTAGGGTCACAAGAATAATGGAAATGATCACCATCTAAAGAAGCTTTGGGTGTAAAGGGTTACTGTAATTTCTGTCCATTTACCCATGCAGCAGATTACCTGCGTGGGTCAGTTTTTGCAATAATGAGAAGAAAGTTTCAACAGATTACCTGCACTAGCAGATAACCTGCACCCAAAAATAAAGAAAATCGTGGCCTCACACAAAGTTCCTTCATTATTATTTTTGACATGATATTCTTTAGCATGCAGTTAACAATTATTTACACTTTTTGTCTTCCCTGTTTAATTGAAAATGATACCACTTGTAAAAATCTGTTCTAAAAAAAAACCAATATCTTGAGATCTACAAGTCGAAGAAATCGCTTGAAATGAGAAAATACTCTTTAACTCAAGGCAGTGCCAGCTGAGAAAATTTCACTGATGCATCAAAAATTCTGTCACACCATTAATTATGCAGCACCATGAAATGAACATGTCAGCATCATTTTCCATGTGATTTGCTATGAAGACAGCTTTTTCACAATTAAATTCTTTTATTTTCAAGTTCACTACCCATGTAAGTGAGATTGTTTTTGAACTAAACAAAGAAACAAGCTATGAAATTGACAAGGTAAGAAAGTAAGAGAACAAACAAGATGAAAGCTTCATTATTGAGCTTTGTAGATGTGTTTTCAATTTGCATTAGCTTTCATCGAGAGCATTAAAGTCTCTCATTATAATGAGCAATCTGCACAAATTAAATGAGTTATTGCACAGGTTTTTTGAAGAGTATCGTAGGTGGATCTTATCATCCCTGTTTTTCCTGCTTATTGTTTTAAAACTATACCAGAAGCGTTAAAAATTATCGTATTATCCGCAACTTCCTATAACCCGCACCAACTACTGTTAGTGGAAAAATTGACAGAATATCAGCGGGTAATTGGCCAGAAATTACAGTAAAACTATTTTTTGAATGACCAACCTTGTAGCAACTTTTGGTACATCTGTTGTCTCTGATGATGAATGTGGGCGCTTCACTCCTTTGTTTGTTTCCTGTTTTATTGGTACAGACACCTTGACACTCTAACAGTTAAGTGGAATTAGGAAAGTTACAATTTAGGAATTGAACAAGCCATGTTAAATAAAAGTGTATGAGAAAAAATTTATGAGAAAAAATTTAAGCACAAAGCAATCAAATAGATAAATACCGCACTTCCTCGAATAAGCACCCATATTCTAATAAATGCCCACCCCTGGACTGTAATTTTAGTGAAGTTCCCGCCCCCTCCCTCAATTTCTTATGGAGTAGGGATATAAGGAAAACCTGTATCTATCACCACTTTTAACACTTCAACTAAAGCAGAATTAGTGAGGAAGAATAATAAGCACCCACCTTGAAAACATGCCATCCCCCCCTACCTTAAACCAAAAGGTGCTTATTCAAGGAAATACAGTATGTGAAAACAACTGATATGCCAGGATTTAAAATAAGTTGTCAAATTAATTAACATTCAATGAAAGTGAGCTTTGGTAAGTCAATTTTTGATTTTCATAAGTAGTGGTGTAAAATATTTTCTCAATTTCAACTCAACATTTCACAAACCAGTTTGATTTTTACTTTACTTTGCATCTCATTATGATGACTATTAAAAAAGCAGAGTAAAAAGTGAATTTGACTGATAGTAGAAAATTGTAAACAAAGAAAACATTTCAGCCACAGAATGTATCATTTTAATATCTCACCTGAGACACAGGTTGTCTGCCTGATGTTTGAAGAATTCTAGGAATGTGCTGCATTTTCCCCTGTGTTTTAACATTAACTTGTTGTTGAACTACAGACTGTGCCCGACCCTGAGGAACAACCTGCTTCACTCCTGAACCTTGCAGCTGTTGCTGTTGCAGTTGTATCTGCTTCAGCTGATCTGCTGTTAAGTTTTTAGTTTGCACATTACTTCCTGTTTGAAGACCACTTGAAGTAAGTTTCTGCTTCACCACTTGCTGCTGTAATTGCAACTGTTTCAGTGCCTGTAGCTGTTGTGGTGTAATTTGAATAGTCTGTTGAGTTTTTCCTCCTTGTAATCCCAGCTTTTGTAACAACTCAGGTTGTTTTATGATAAACACTTTCTGAACTCCAGCTTGTGCTTGTTGTTGCTGCACTTGAGAAACTGTATTCTGTTGAGCCGTTGTTGCAACATGGACAACAGGTGCCATTCCAGTTTTTCCTTGCTGAACAACAGAATTAACCTGCCGGACAATACCTCCTTGATTTGACACTTGTGCTACAGGGGTTTTGTTGAGTTGACTCGGTACAAATGTTACACCTTGAAGAACTCTAGTGCCTTGTTCCTTTGACACTTGCAGCTGTTGTGTTAAGTTAACTTGCTGTTGTCCAAGAGAAAGCACTTGCTGCTTCTGCTGGTTATTCAATACTTGCTGTAGCTGAATATTTGCAGGAGACAAAGAGACGTCAGTTCTTTGATTCAGGTTAGAAGGCTTAGCAGAAGCATTGACATTAACTTGCAATGTTTGCAGGGTTTGCTGTCCCTGTGGTTGAATATTCTGTACTAAGATCTGCTTTTGAACAGATTGAGACTGCTGTGGTATTTGCTGAAATATTTGCTGAGGTTGCACAAGTTTCTGGGTAGGTTTTTGTTGCGATACTTGTTGAAGAAGTTGTTTGATGACCTCTTCTTGGACAACAATGTTTTGTGGTTGAGCTGCTTGGACAGTTTGTGTGGTAAACTGTTGGTTTGGTTTCAAAGCAGCTTGGAGCTGTGCAGGACTAAGTACATTCTGTTGCAACGTTTGTACAACTGGCGGTTGTTGCTGCTGGTTAGAAAGTTTCTGTTGAACTAACTGTTGAATTTGTTTAATCTGATTTGCAGGTAATGCTTGTGATTGTGTGAGCTGAGTTGATGTCTGTTGTGTTGTCTGGGTGCTTGGATTTTGGCCTCTTATCAAATTAAGTAACTGCTGTGCTTGGATAAGCTGTGTATGATTTTGTTGTTGAGCATTTCCTGGTGACACTTGATTTATAACAGTTTGCACTTGAGGAGTAATTTGATTTGAAACTTGTTGTAGAAGTATCTTATGTTGTGTACCCACAATTTGAGGTGGCGATGACATACCAGTTTGAGGTAATATACTTGGCTGTTTAGGTGCAATTCGCTTGACAGGAGTTGTAGAAAGAATTGGCTGTAACACACCTTGAGGAGATTTATTAGAATGTGCATTTACAGGAGCAACACTTGTCTTCATGTTTGTTTTCGAATCTGTTCCATTTAACACAACACGATGCCCAGAGGAAGATATACTCTGCTGTGCAACAACAGGTTGTTTTTGCATTACAATAGGTAATCCAGAGTTCATAATCTGTATTCCACGTGTTCCTGTAGTTCCTACAGTTGAGCTTGTTACAGCAGAGGAAATATTAGGGGTTTTAGGTTGGATTGGGATGGGTTTTTTCCCTTGAAATACTGAAGCAGTAGTAGCCACAGGTTTTGGTGAAGACGAAATTCCAAGTGCACTGCCAGTTTTGTTCCCTAAACTACCAGGACTTTCCATACCAGCCTTTAGAAAATTGACACCACTTGACACCGGAACAGAAGACGGAACCACCCCAACAGTAAAAGGAGTATTAGGACTTGAACTATTTCTTGACATGCTACTATTGTTGACCACTGAATTTACTAATGTACTCTGTGGCAATGAAGAAGAACTAGGCAAAGATGTTCCAGACACTTGTGAAGCAATTCTTGCATTTACAGGTAACCTGTTGTTAATCCCACCTTCTCTTGTTGAACTGGCATTTAATTTTGAAGTCAGTAAATGATTCACATTCAGTGGAGTTGACACTGAAATAGAGTCTCCTGAATTTTTAGAAGAAAGGCCATGATCCTGTAAATAAAGGAAAACATGTTTAAATTTGGAAAAACCTTTTGAAACTGGTCTAAATCCTTACACTCCCATGAGTGAGCAAGACAAAATTCCTCCTTACAACATCAATTAAAAGTCAAGCATATAAGTGATGAGAATAAAGGAAAACATCAAGTAGGGGGTTACTAGTTGATCCAATACCAAATTCTCCAAACTAACATCAAAGGAATCCTGTGGCAGAAAGTAAGGAGAATTACTAATGAGAACTTGGAAGCAAAAGGGTTAAAGGTAAGATCTATGAAAGAGCATCTAAATTTTAATTTTTCACAAGCTCCTTTGAGGTTTGACAAAGTTTTGGGAGCTACCACAGCTTTCACCATGTAATTTACGGTTATTTGCCTAGTCTCCAAGATTTTCCTACCATATACACTGTTGTTGTCAAGGGACATAGCTGCTTATGATTGTTTTGCTCCTATTCAGATAAGATCAGTGTGGACAGTAAACTCGAAGGAAAATTTACAAGGTTTACCTAAATTATCAAGGGTGTAATGGAACCTTGAAAAATCACAGCTCTCTAAACAATTGAATTACAGTAGAACCCCGCTTACTACAACATGATTCACTCAAACCCTCTGCTAACTTAAATAAGATCCGGTTTCCCTTTGCTTTGACCCCATCTCCTCAGTTATTTATTATTAGCTGGCTCAAACTTGGTTCACTTGAACTTCCTTTTAACTCAAAATTAATTTTAATTTCCCTTTGCTCAAATCTTCACTCCAGACTTGAACATCAAGTAAAGACATTGGGTTATAAACATTAAAGAGAGCTATTAACACCTGCCAACCTGAACTTCACAGACTAAACGGTCTTATCAAAAAGCTCCCTTAAACTGACTAAATAAATGAAAATAACAGTTGATTGTGCAAGAATGGTAAAACAATCATTCCTTCCTAATTGATAATTTAAAAACCAATCCTGTTAACTCCAACCCCCTTCTATTCAAACCATTATTTATTACCCTTATGAGTTCAAGTTGGGAGAGGAGAGGGAAGGGGGGGAGAGAGAAAAGGGGATCTAGTGTATGTAAAAATTTCATCAACTTTCATACTGAGTTTCAAAATCACATTCTTCAGTAGGGCATTTCATTTTGGTCTCCAAAACTTGCATTGCACTCCAAGTTCTAGGATTTGTTCTTACAGCCGAGTATCTTGACCAAATGGTACCAAAAGTACATTAGAGTTACACATATTATTCCAGCTGGTTTGATTATAATGCAACCTGAAAGCTGCTTTGTTACAAAAACAGGCACAGAACAGTATCTTGCAACTATATTGCAAGTCAGAGATACAACCTTGGAACTATCATAGTTAAGTGAGAGTAAAGATCAGGGCTTGTAAAGATATAATTATGAAATCTCAGTCTTGGATTGTCAAAAAACGGTCTAAACATCCTGCAAGTCTAAGATTTTACCATTGCAACCCCTTTCAGTATGGACAGGACATATTAATACTACCTTCAAGTAGTTTGGATAAGAAATCACCTTGTGTCAATTATGGACTGTTGGTAAATACAAACACCTGTGAAATTTTTGGATCTATAAGAAAATTGCCATGCACAGAAATTGAGGTTTGGTCTACCCCCTTTCAGATGAATTGAAGAGTCAAGACAAATTAGATCCACATGCATCACAAAAAGTTACAAAGCTGACTTCAGCACATAGTGTTTTATGAATACTGTCACAGTAAATTTGAGAAAAGTATTCCGCTCACCTGGCTATTGGTTCTCAAGAATTCTTGCAAAGCGTTAGGGTCGCTATAGAGAGAGAGAAATTCAACATCAAAGTTGATTCCTGCATGAACTAACACTTCCTCTTTCAGATCTCTTTCACCGGCCCACTAACGTACAGTATAAGATGTCAAATCTAATTTTGGTGACATGAAAAATACTTCACTCACTTTATCACATCCAGAAGACATTTAGCAGTGCCAGCCTCCATTATTTCAAACGGATGGCAGCCTAACGAACTTTTGCTGCCGTTTTGGCATGAACTCCAATGAGCCTGTGGTTAAAATAGGACAAATTAGTCATAGAACAGGGGAAATATTATCGAAATTAGACAATTTTCCTTGAAAACAGGCAAATATAGAATTACAGGCATATAATTGGAGCTTCCGGGATGATATTCGTAAGGTTTCTCTCCAATTCCTGCAACTCCAAGAGGTCGCAAAATATTTCTTCGGCGAAAGGGGGGTAACTTACCCCCTGTATATGAGGTACAGCCGGCGAATTCGGCGTAAAAGTGCGAACTCTATCTCTGTGTTCGATCGAACGGCCTACCTGTGGTTGTTTGCATATGACTAATTCCACGGGCTTTTATCAGTACATGGAGCTGAATTGCTGCCTGATGTCGATTGGTAGGATAATGTACTATGTCTGGAAATGGTCGTTTCGGCCTCGGGCCGGGCAAATTTCCTGTTTTGGAGTGATTTTAGCTAAAATTTCACGACGGACATGCGACCGCGACTCGCATTTGTTCCAAGCAACAATGTGTGGGGGGTTCCAGGGGCACGCACGTGATCAATATTATCAAAGGCCTGGGTTCTACTTCCGGTAATTTTGGCGGGAAGTGTCTGTCGAACTGTGAAATGAAAGGATAATTTTGTAGCTTTGCCAAAATAAATCAAAACTTTTCAAATAAAACAAACATAAACTTGAAAATTACTTCAAATCAAGTATATTTCCTGCTAATCGGTGTACACGTAGAGTGTTAAAGTCTGCAGTATTCAGCGCAAAAGCTCTAAGTTTCTCACTTAAAATGAACTTTGCAAGATAGCTGTATTAATATCCTTAGATAGCCTGACTTAGGCTGATTACCAGTCTTTCCAAGGGGGATGGGGGAAATGCCTTCCTCCCGCGCTCGCTCAGCCCATTCCTCCTTCCGTTGGAAGGCCTGATGGACCTGATACGTTCCTCGATACTCTTGATTAAGCTTTATAGAATGCAAATAATCAGATAAAAAATTATGGGAAAACAAAACAAACTGGAATAAAACAAGAGGCGTCTGAGCTGGCTAAGACGTTTTCATCAAGCGCCCAAGAAAAAAAAGAAAACACCCTTTGAAAATCGTGTCAAAGAAAGTTTGTCTCCTTCCTCGGATTCATCTCTGGGGCTCTTCACCTCCGCAATGCACAAAAGTAAGCCTGAATAGGGACAGAAAAGTTTCCAGTCTGAACTGTCTCAAAAATTATCTTGTCTCTGTATGATAAAGGTCACTGAAATTGGACAACTTGGATGATTCAATCAATTTGGACCCTTTACAACGGTTCGGCAGGCATCTTTGAAGTCCCCTCGTTGGTAACAGGCTGTGTTCCATTCTTTGGTGGCAGAAGAAACCAGGAAAAGCCTCTACCCTTTTTAATACCGTTTGGCAAGGATCAACAGGGCGCTGCGCGCTGGAGAAAAGAGTGAATAACAATCTCGCAAAGGCACAAGGGCAATTCGTGAAGGCTCATGGGATTGGAGTCTTAACTAGGAGGTGGATTTAGTTTGTTGTCACGCATCGCTTTTGAGTCCCGAACTTCATGTGATGAATCAGTGTATATATGTTTTTCTAGCTTTCCTTTATTGCTAAGCCAAAAATACCTAAGCTTAGAAACCTATCGAAATAGTGAAAATTGTTTTTTTCTGTCTTTAACATCAAAGGCCATGCATGAGTCATACATTTACACATGCGATGATATTTAATTGTCTCAAATCAGCACAAAAAGGCGTGGACAGATTCAGTGACAACTATTTAGTATTCTTCCTAGCCTCGTATCCCAGTCCCATATCCTGTTCGTGTTTGATGCACGCAACTAGTTTCGTATCAAGACCGCCCACCGCCAAGCGATCGTAACATTTCAGTAGGATCTGGGTACGAGATTAACACGCTGTAAGTGGGATTGTGGGAGTACTCAACTTTACCTCCTGATAGTGCTAAAGCTCTCCTTCCTCTATTCCCGGTCAACGAAAGATAACGTTGCGAGATGAGAACAGAGTGTACAAATTATTTTAAGCCATCACGACCATGCTAGCCACCAGAGTTTAAGCTGTAAACCATACAGTTTTTCTAAGTTCTGAGCTAAATTTGGTCATGGTGCAGTCCAGTGCCGAACAAGCGTGTTAAACAAAATTTCTAATGCTTCAGCGAGCTTTAAATATTTCAGCTATGAAATTTGTAAGCTGGTTAAATCACTGCCATTTACAAGCAAACGTCGTTGTCTTCCAACCTTGTTTCCATGGTGTCTGTCACAAATCATCCTGGAAACGAGGTCGAGGATCATCTTTACGTCGCTTTGATTGTCTTTGTGGTTCCATAGTGCCTAGATGGTGAAACAGTACTGTTATTGCTGTTAGCAGGAAGTTCGGGCATCGATATGTTTGTTTGCGCGGTTGGTATCGCAGCAAACGCAGTTTTCTGTATGTCTGGCGTAGAACTGAGATTTGAATCTTTCTTGTTTATCTTGTTATTTGAATTTTCTTCATCCTTGTAGTCTGAATCGGCGTAATTTCCCAGCCTGGAAAAGGAAAAAAGTCAGAAAAAAAAGAAAGAACACTGTCACTGCAACGTCTTGTGCGTACACTAAAGTCTATTTTTAAATTATCATAACAGCGCCTATAGTTAGACGAGACATGTAGAAAATAGCAACAAGGAGTAGAGACAGACATCTAATCGTTAAGACGGTCCTAATTAATTATTTCAAATGCCAAACATTTCGGTAAAAACGATTAATCGTAATTATATGCCGTCATATAAAGGGAACCAAAAATGGAATTAACCAATAATTGGCTGTAAAAGATGAAACAAGATTGGTTGAAAATGGTTCAGAGGCAAACGTTTCCTCAAAAATCATCACAAAAATAATGGAATAGTTTTCTTTCTATTAGCACTTTGCGTTTATGGCCGACCCTTTTCGGGAAGCCTTTTCGACAAATACCAGGCGATACCACTGGAGCTTTACGTTAAGTTTTAATCACTGCTCCAGTTGTAGTCGGACTTTTACCGATCTACTCAGTGATATCCGCCGATCCACTTCTCAGCACTTTGCCCAATACTGTTCGAGTGGACCTTTCATTACCCTTACAGTACCTTTAACAAAGTTTTCTTTTTATACCGACTATCTTTAATTCCGTCATATTTGACTACATCGGTTTACAGCTATATCCCGGCCGTGTTAATGACGAATATTAAAGCGCAGAAGGAACATTTTTGTAGGTCTTTTTTCTACCATTTATGTACGTTTTTTTTCTTCTAGGAAGGAAAGCTACTGGTGCGATGCGATGTATCTTCAAAATTGTTTTTTTCCCGCGACCAACCGAATATTTCGACGACACAGTCTCGATGGACTATCTTCTTCCCGTCGCAAGTGTAAATTTTTTTAAGAGACCGATAATGGGAAGTGACGAAATGAAATTGACGACCCAGTCGAGAATTGACATTCTTGTTTTCAGCAGCGTCATCTGATTTTAACTTTGGAAACTTCTCAGTCTACATTTTTTTAAATTCAGTATACTTGCGTTAGTTACTCATCTCAAATAACTTTTTCTAGCAAAAAATGTTTGAATTAAGCATGTGAAGAAGAGTGGTCTTGTAACTTACCCTCGATCTAAGAGGTGATTGATAGCGGTGGTCACAACAATCAAAACGAGCAAAGCCGCAGAAAGAAATGACATTTTCCACAATAACTATGCTGTAAGTTGGGGATGTGATGGCGTAAAAGCCTTTTAATCGAAGGGGTTACAATGGCATGTATGAAAGGTTAACGATAATTATGTGACACCTGTCCGCCTTAAGCGGCTTGAAGCTAATTGCGGAACAAAAGGGGACTGCTGTGAGTCTTGAAGAAACAGAAAAAGTCGCCATTTGGTTCAGTCTCCAGCCGAGAACTAGCCGCAGCACGTTTTTGGACAAGTCTGCGGGCGCAACGAAACAACGAGGGCCGGAGACCCGTCAAAGACTGCGACTGAGCCTATATTGATACGGCGGTTTTTCACAGAAAAATGAAACTAGGGATAAGCAAAACTTAGTAAAAAAAAATCGAAAGCCTCGCAAGAAGCCAATAATATATATGGAAAACTTAAAAAAAAGAATACGAAAATTCGCAACCTGTTAGCTCCCGCTCTATAAGATGTCGCGCAACTCCAGGTTTTGGAAGTGGCAAGTCGTCTTGTGAGATCCAATAGAACGGCCTTAAAGAACAAAATATTTTTTGTATGATATATTGATGTATCTAGGTAGTTCGAAGCCTCCTCTGGTGTGACTTTATGACCAGGTTATATTACCTCTGTCTTTCTTGACTTTTTTGTTGTAGGAGTTGAGACGGAATGCCCCCCTCACCACCTCTCTCTCTTTCTGATGAAAAGTAGTAAACGTTGTGAAATGAAGTTAATATGTCATATATTATTTAGAGGGCCCTCAGAGATGACAAACGACAGAAATTCTAATCATCAGCAGGTGTTGCAGTATATTTCTTAAGTTGAGAACGAACTAAGTCACGAACTGCTGTAACCATATACCAGGCCTGGTTACATGCGTCTTTTAGACTCCCGTATCGGCATAAAACGTGGCGTCTAGCATAGTTTACCGAATGAATTTGTGACAATTTGGTATTTTTGGTAGCCTTAAGATACTCGGGTCGATTATCAAGCTTTTCACTTACTTGGTAGTTGGGCTCATTAACTACAACAAGACAAGTCTACTCAGCGAGAGCAACCATGAAACAAGCAATGTCGTAACGGTTGGAAAAAATTCGTGTGTGGCTCGAAGGTGGATATACAGCCTCGCTCCTTCAGCAAAATTTCATTGATCGCCTAAGACTGTCACATTAACACACCCAGACTTAAAGTTCATCCACGTATATCGAAAGGAGGTGATATTTACAAGTTATCCCGAGGAAATTTAATTTAACGAATGACTACCTCAGAGCCAATACGGTTGAAAATCGACATGAACGAAAAATCTAAAGGAGATGCGGGTTTCCAGTGGCCGGAGGAACAGCGAAAGTACTGGATTGTGGCCATGTTTTGTGGTACACTATTACTGTACGCTGCCAGATCAGCTGTACCTTTGTGTATGGCAGCCATGAGCTCTGAATTAAAGTGGGACAAAGAGATCGATGTAAGTCCTGCCGTGTCCATGAGTAGAACTGTGTGTATTTAAGTGGCTGTATTAAGTTATTTAGTTTAAACAAATTATTAGTTTCTCGTTTAATTTGTTTACCTAAAAACAGTAGGGAGAAATCTCAACAGTTGATGGCCCGAAACGGCTTGAATTTTACAGAAAAGAAGATGGAAAAAGTCGCATCCGACTGAAAGTCAACCTCAACTTTTGTTTTGTTATTGATGTCTTGTATATTCCTTACATCTATTTAAACGCAAGTTTTTGTTTGCCCAGCCATACTCGAACTATTCTCTGTTTAAATTTTCTGTGTAACACATTAATTATTGTCTTTGATTTACCCTTGGCAAGAGCAAATTTTTGACAACCTTAAGTGCCTGGTTACCTTAGGGCTTATTTTGTTTGTGTTTGATGTAAATCTTTTAACAAGTAGCCTAAAGTAGGCGTGGCCCCCTATTCACAAAAAATGCTTCAAGCAGAAAGCCAGCAAATAGTGTACCATCAAGTCTATGTAGTTTTCTGAGATTCAAAAACAAAAGACCACAAAGATTAGAAAACATGTTAACATTATACTCTTGCCTAACAATTCTCACAAGATTTTTTGTTTATCTATAGAGCAAGACAGGTTTGTGATCAACGTATCAGCCCATTAGTAGGGTTTAGCTTGAGAAATATCAGTGAGATGAACCAGGAGTAAAATTTGAAAATTGCAAAAGTTGTGTCAATTTTTCCCTTGTGAAAAAAGTGGAAACATTTGAATTTGTACTAGTGTGACTGGGTTCTTAGGAAGTCAGCAATATTTTTCTCAATAAATCTCTGCTCCTTACAGTTTTGAAGTTTGTGGTATGACTATGGGGTATTTCAAGTTTGAAGAGCTTTGATAAGATTTAGCATGACCAAAATAATCACTGCTATTTACAAACAACCAACATTTTTGCTAAGTAATCAAATTTTTGTCAGTGAGTATGGGCCCTTAGTTCTGTACTGATGTCATGTAGAAATGAGGAGCTGTGTATACAGGAAGGTTTAGACAGAAACTTCAACTTTCTGTGCAACCAATCTTTTTCTTTATGCCTGAAACATTCAGTTATTTTATTTCTTTTCCAGGGAGCAGTTATGTCTGCCTTCTTTTGGGGATACATGCCTGCACAGATCATTGGCGGATATTTAAGTGACAAATATGGTGGAGAAGTAATATTAGGAATTGCTGCAATTTTCTGGTCTTTATTAACATTGGCTGTTCCTTTTATAACAGTGTCACCAATACTTTTCTTCTCTCCTACCATGATTATATTTGCTGCTAGAATGTGCACTGGTTTATCCCAAGGTTTGTGATGAAATTGTATTGAATCTTGAATCTTGATAATAATATAATAAGTAGATAGTAGTATATGGGTGGGTGGTATATAGATAGGGAATTTTTCTTCAAGCATTCAACACAATATCTCATGAATGAGCTTAGCAAACACAAAATAGAAATTCCACATCTACAAGCAGCCATGTATTATTTGTTTATTATGTAAACACCCAACTGTAGGTCCTTACTGACAAGAAAAGTTGACTTAATTAATTAGTGAAGAATCCATGGGGAAACAGAATTTTTTCTTTGTCCTATGCTCATGACAAGACAAAAAAACATCTTTCTCTATCTCTTTACTGAGCTCGAAACTTACCATCTCTCTTATTTCTATCTACAAACATTATGCTATCAACATTGCTGATCCTAGCAGTATGCATGTCATATGAACTTCATAAAAGACCATGCTCTCTGTGGCTCAGTGGTAGAGCATCAGAGCACGGAATCTGAAGATATTTCCAAGATTTTGTTGATGGTTTGCCATAAAATTTCTTTTGAATTTGTGAATCAACAAATATAAAACCTTTGACACAGCAACAGGGATCAGTTTTGTCAAATATCCTTTTGTCTGCAGGAAACTAACAAGAGTCCAACATAACACTCTCCTGTAAGCAGACATACACCCTATTTTTCTGTGGTATATGAATATAGGAATAATTCTTATAGGTGGACAGTTCCACTAACAAGTACTTTTTCCAATCCCCAAGGGTTTCCACCTACAAGAGAGTTGACTGTGTTGACATGAAAATGACACAGATTGATAGTTGCTGATTCTTACCGTTCTTAAATATCTTTCTTTCAATTTTAGGTTTACATTATCCCTCACTAACAAACATAATTGCTAAGAGAATTCCAATAAAGGATAGAACATTTTTAACAAGTACAATATTTGCTGGTGGACCCGTAGGGTAAGTTAAGAAATATGCTATACATACTTAACAAAGAAAATTAATTTTAAGGTAAGAATGTCGACAAATTCATTTGACTTATATATCTCCTTCTCTTGAGGTACAGAAATAAGGTTATTTGACAAGGAAATACCAAAGGAAATACAGATCAAATTAGGCTGAAGTTGTTTTAATTTTAAATCATTTTAAACTGTAGTTAATCTTGAAAATATTATCAGCCCCTAATATATAACATCAGTATACATATTCTCCATACTGTTCTCTAAACATTTTCTATGGTGCTGACAAGGAGAATTTGTTTAACAATCAAGACTTCCTCTTGTTGGTGATCATTACCTTTGTTCTCATGACCAGAATGTTTGATTCAGGTGTGATATTGTGAGGAGAAATTTAATGCTGGTCACTTGAAAGGGTTGAAGGAGAAGCATAATTTTATTTCCTCCAGTAAAATATGATATGAAAGCATGACTTTGATCAGGTTTCAAGATGCTAAACAGTATTTAAGATGTTTGGAAATCACCTTCAATACTGCCACTTTTAAGACTGTTTATTTACCTGCTTACCTGAGTTATTACAAAAATCTTACCACTTAACAATTGGTTCATAAGTTAGCATATGTTCATCGAGATATGAAGCACGCAGGAAGTTTTGGAGAGAACAAAAATGCATAAGAGTTGCTTGAGGCTACTTCTTGAGTGCTCTCCAAACTTCCCAAGTGCTTCATATCTCAATGAATGCACAGCTGACATATGAACCAATTGTTTTATAACATTTATATTTATATTTTCCAACTTGGACTCACTCAAAGTTGTGAAATGGGATGACACCAGCCATGCTTGTTCTTTGTTTTCTTTTTCTTTTCATTTTTTTGGGGGGGTTAAAAACTCCATTCCCAGAGAAAAAGTAGGCAGTTCTTCCTCATCAACTGGCTCACAACTTTCCATGTTTAGCTTAAATTGCTGCCAAAGTCTTAACCAGTTTTTTTGTAGTAAAATCCCAAAGTAAAAAATTCCGTAGAAAATTTTTTTTTCTCGAGGGATTTGTTTGCTGATGCCATGAGCGTGCACAATAGGAATATGAAGCATGCTTATGCAATTGAATTTAATTTGACAAATTTACTAGCTATGTTATAATTATTTTTGACTCCTCTTGGCAATCTGCTCCAACAACTACCGGTACTGGTAGCCTTGCAAAGCCTAGGACAGGGTACTTTCTATGTTATAACAAAGGGCATGGTAGATCTAAGAATTCCCTCTGCCTTAGTTCAAATGACAAATGAGCATTTTTGTTGCAAATGGAAGAGAATTACTACTGAGTGAGGTGATAGATGTACAACTGGTGTTTTCCTTCCCTTTAAGTTTCAACCCGAAACTATATTGTGAAATGGAAAGGGATAATGATGTTTCATGTTCTTTTTTTCCATAGCACATTGTTCATGGGCAGTGTTGGTTCATTATTCCTCTCTTACATGGGTTGGCATAGCGTGTTTATTTTTCATGGTCTAATGGCATTGTTATGGGCCTGTCTTTGGAGATATTATTTAGTTTTACCAGAATTTGAACTTGGAAGCATCAAAATGGTTGAACCAAGCAGTTCTGAACGGGCACACCTACTCAATGTTCCCTGGGAGACATTTGGAAGAAATCCAGCTGTCTGGTTTGTATGCTGTCACTATCATCAGTGTCATCATTCTCATTACCATTGTCATCATCATGATTATATGATTGTGTGGTTTATTTGTCCATGTGTGTGTAGCTTGAGAAGGACTGTTATCAGTTGTTGTGACAAATGTTTCAACAACCGTAGTGAAAGTCATCATCAGATTGTTGATCAGACAACATGATCCAATGTTACTCTTAGGCTCAATTTTCTTTATCTTTCATTATTATTGGAATGTTGGTGTTTTTGTTGTTGTTATTGTTGTGATTTCATTGTTAACCTTTTTTATTGTCAGTATTAACATTTCTTTCTAGTTTTAATTGTTTACATGTCTTTCTTTCTACCTATTCCTTTTTTTATGTACTAACATGAACTCATAAATTACTTGCAGACCTAACAAATATGAGGTTGCAAATTCTCTCTTACCTGTTACCCTTTTACCAATTTTTCTTTTCAGGGCTCTGGTTGTTTCACATTTCTGTCAAGGCTGTGCATTCTGGAATGTGTTTGCATGGCTTCCCATGTTTTTTGAGGAGCGTTTTCCTGGAAATGAGGTATCTTCACTTAATTTTACCTCTCCATCCCCCTTAAAAAAAAGCAGTTGAGAAAAAAACTTGGTTATTTGTGAGTTTTTAACCTTGTGAGTCACACCATATCTTGTCTGTGACAACTGTCCTGTACTGCATGTACAGTGGGTACCTTAGATGAAAAATAATGAATTTGAAAGCGATCTTAGCATTAATGAACACTACTTAAGTGGTAGAGAAAATAAGACCTGAAAAAAATTCAGGTCTGTACAGGATTTGAACCCATGACCTCTGCGATACTGGTGCAGTGCTCTGCCAACTGAGGTAACAAGCCAACTGAGAGTTGGTCATACTGTTGGTTCATAATAAACCCACGAAGTGAAGATATAAGAAATAATGTAAGTCAAACAATAAATTTTTTAAACTGCTGCCTCCCAAATATCAGTCAGTCACCATAAGGGACTTTAAATGAAACATGACAGTGACTGCAACAAGGATGTAAAAAAATAATAGATGTAATGGCCAGAACAATAGCTCAGCACATGCTTTTTAAACTTTTGTACATTTATCAGCTGTCCTCTACAAAACAACAACACAAAATCACCAAAATTTTCATGGTCTGAGAACAGAAACCCTGATGGCAAATTATTCAAGTTCCTATTTAGAATTCAACATTAATCACATATGGTGTAATGATGTGCTAAATTTGAGGTGTGGCACTGCCAGAGGTGATAAAGAGATCCAGCCATTTTCAAAAATTCTTACTAAAATTAAAAATTTAATTTGAATTGCTGTTTTCCTTGATGTTGCCCTCCTGACTGCTTAAGGTCCCTTCTGCCAACTGAGACAGATGGTGGAATTGGGTGCTGTAGGTCCCTTGAAGGAAATTGATGTACAAACAATAACTATAAATCTGTTGCTGATCCCTCCTGTAGAAATGGATATTTAATGTCCTTCCATGGTTGCTATACTTCCCAGTGGCTCTGTTTGTTGGACATGTAGCAGATAGCATGATTAGAAAAGGTTAGTTATTAAATCACTCATTGAACTGTTATGAAATCTTTTGGTTAATGCCATATAGTACTTAGCAGAAGTATTTTATGTGTTGTTCTGTTTAATGAAAGTTTCCACACAGTTCTTAAGTTTCCAAATGCCTCATCCTCTCTGTTTATCTCAAGGTGATGTGTTTGAATCAGGGGCTATGGGAAAGGGCATTCATTTTTTTTTTTTTTGTTAGAAACAGAACAACAGCTGTTTATGAACTATTTATTGTGGTTTTGTGTGTGTAGCCATGTAATTTACCTGTGTCATAAATTGTGGTATCCACAGCTGGATTACTAGCATCAAAGATAATTTTTAATTACAGTTTTGTTGAGAAGCTTAAAACATAAGTACTAATAAATTTTAATATATAATTTCAATGGTAAAGACAAAAATTATGTTACCTGCAGAAAACTTCCTGTTTAACCTTTCACTCCCATGATTGATCCTTGAACAAATTCAGAACTTTCCAGTTCATTCCTTTTATGGCTCAAAATTGTAATTGGATGCATAGATTGTTGATAAATGTTCCTTAACCAGCCTTCAAAATTTCATGTGAATTTGGCATCTACTTCCCTAACAAAGTTTCACCAGTCAACAACCTACTAAGGTTAAGCTTCAAAATCAATGTTAACCAACTGGAGAGCAGGGGTTTGCAATCTCAGATCTTTTCTTGGATGGGAGTTAGTTTAGATACACACCCTATGTGTGTGATAGGCTTTCCACTTAAAGTTTGCATTTGAAAGGCAGCATGGAGTTGATTACTTAAAGTGATTTGTTTCTTGTGTAAGATCTACTCCATCCTTCTCCCTTTGTTTTATAAGGGAATAAAGGAGAATTTGGTTGGAGAGTGGTGCCTTTTATCTCACGTCAATTAGAATTTTTTCCCCTGGACCCTCTTCACCCACTCTTTAATTAGCAGATGATGGCTGAAATATTCCATTGTGTGAAAGATGATCAGTTAGCGTACAGGGTAGCAAGGTTTTAGCAGTATTTTTCGAAGAACACGGCAGAAGCATTGCAATTAATTCGATCCTCTATCTTCTTACTATTCCTGCTTTGTCAATTCTGCAGGATCATCAGTTACTTTTGTCAGGAAATTCTTTCAGGTAATTTTCTGTTTTTAATGTTTTCTGTTTTTTAATGTTCTTAATAAAAGCTATTCACTGAAAAGTACAAGAGTGAAGAAAACTATATGTTATTTATTTTCATTATTGCAATCTTGGTTCTGTAATATGATATACTGGTCATTTGCACAGATTCCATCTGTGCTTCCATTACACTAACTTCTATAATTTTTGTCATCATTGTTATCGTTATGTTAAAAGAAATTCAAATCAAATGGTCAAAAGTTGTTCAAAAGCTGTCCACAGAGTGTCTAACTGGCCTTATGTGCGTGGCAAGTAACGTCTCCTACCACACCAGATAGAGCATTGGATCATTATTATTAAAGTGATTCTTCATATAATTATTATTGTGAGGTTTGTTATTTCTCCTGTTACTTATCTATTTATTTTTGCTGAAGTGCAATTTTAATGCTTTTTTTTTACAGACTCTTTCAATGTGTGGTGGGGCACTTTTCATGATTCTTATTACCAAGTCATCCAACTTTAGTCAGGCTATTTTTTGCATGATGATGGCCATGAGTATGAATGCATTAGGTAATGCAGGCACTCCTGTCACACCCCAAGATATGTCTCCCAAGTTTGCTGGGACACTCTTTGGTAAGTAGCTTTGTTTGCTGGGTTTTATTGGGTGTCAGAGATGGGAGAATTTTTTTAGTTAAATTTAAGTTGCCTATTTTTTATTCAGAAGTGGAAGGATCCTGCCTTGTACTCTCTGCTTTATGGGTTACACCAATAACAATCACGAGCATGTATCTATGTATCCCATTTTCAAGAGGAATAGGTTATTGATCAATTTCAGTTTTAACCCTTTAACTCCCAAGATCTGATTGTTAATTTTCCTTCTAGCTGCTACACATTTCCCTGTAACTTAGTTATGAGAATTTGGTGTTAGATCAAGACAACAACCTGTACCTGATAAGTTTGAGAATTCTCATCATCTCTGTGCTGGATATGGAATGGATATTATAGGGAGAAGTTACATGTTAATCACTCCTGGGGGTTAAAAGGTTAAAGGGTTCAAAACTCTTGAAACCAAACACTAAAGGCAAGACAGTAATGGAAATAACAGCCGGTCACTGAAAATTGTTGGAAGGAATTTTGGCAAATGTAGGGCTATTTTTATGTAATAATGTAATGCCAATGATAATTGGTGAAAGAAAATGTTCATTTGAACAACTTTGTTTCTTTGACCGAAGTCTAATTTGTATTCTCAAAGTATGCTTGATAAACAAATTGAATTTAGATTTTTAAAATCCCAATTGAATGAAGTGATGCTAAATTTAGTGAAGTTAAACTTATAAATTGTGTGAGGGAAAGGAAAAGGGAAATGACACAAGTCCTCTTAGGGGAGAAATATGACTAGTTTCCTGCAGTGGGGTCAGAGGAATTGTTGTTAGTTCCAAAGCTCTACACCCAAGAGGAATGTGATCATGAATTCTTTAAATCTTTTTGTTCACTTTTTTGCTTTTTCTTTTTTATCTCTAGGAATAATGAACTCAGCAGGTGCATTTTCAGGTGGGTTGCATGGACAGAAATTTTCTAAATTACCTCTGTTGATTTGACCCCAAACAAAAAACACCAATGACACAAGAATGTTATGGGACTGAATCCTGCTAGAACCTGACCAGGCACTATCTTCAGATCCAAAGGGCGTATGTGTTGGCTGTGAACTTCCTCTTTCCAAGACCTTTCTTTTTCATGATCTTTGCCTCATTTGTTTTTCACACTAGATCATCGTCATCATGTTGCATTATATTACACATTCAAACCCTTAACTTTCTGATTTTAATATTTTCATTGCTATAATTCAGCCTTACATGTAAGGCTGAAATCGCTTGTGACTTGATCTTTACCTAAATGTCTCAAGCTTTTTTGGTGGAGTATTGTGTTCCATTCGGACCTTAAACAAAACAAGCACAAGACATTATAATTGGGTAATTCGATGTGCTTCTGTCTCTGCCTTCAATTATCCTATTCTTCTCTGTTAAGTTTTATTTATTTTTTACAGGAATTGTTGGCCCCCTTCTCACAGGTTACCTTTTAGAAGTTGGTCACAGATGGGACTATATATTTAAATTAAACGCTTTAGTACTCATCTTGGGTGCTTCGGTGTTTCTGATAAGAGGAACTGCAAAGAAAATAGTGTAGAACAACTGAAATTGCTCAAAGAATATTCTCCATATAAGCCAAGCCTAAAGAGGTACTTTCAGTGACCTTGAAGCAAAGCCATTTACAGGATGAGCGGAAGAAAACAGAGCAGCAATTGAGCAGAATTTTTTAAGTAAGGAATGGACAATGTCTAGCGTGCGCTCATCCAATTCGGAATGCACGCGGATAGTTGGAAGAGCATGAAGGTAGCGGCGTCTTGAGCATATCTTATGCTACCTTCGTGTTCTCCCAACTATCCGCGTACATCCCGAATTGGATGAGCTAGATATTGCGCTCTGATTGCCTAGACATTGTCCATTGCTTTTATAACATAGCGAAACATTTTTCACGCTGAAAAAGTTGCTCTATCTGAACTGATAAGATTGCAATGACGTCAGCCTGAACCATCTCTATGAGCCATCCATTTCTTTTTCATAAAATATTAGCCAATCAGAGCGCGTGTACGAATGTAGCTATGTTATAACTGCAAATGTGCCATCTTTCCTTCCACAATTATTCCCGCTCTGAGGACTGTTTAGGGTGCTGTGTGTTCGGGAGATTAGAACCAAATTAGATGCTTATAAAATTGGGCCCATTTCCTAAGAAGGCTGCAGCGCACAAGAAAAATTAAACTCGCTTTAGTCGAACTGACGTAGAAATATGACCAAAGAGGATGTTGCTCAATTGGTTTCTTTTCATGTGTGAGTGAGTTCATCTCATTCATCCCCAACCACTGTCATATGTTTTCTTTTTTCCCACGAAATGTAATTCGGAAAAAGGGGGTAAGTTTCTAAAGAAACTGTGGTGCTGCGTCGGTGAGAGAGTATAATGAGGTAATTTAGGGTCATCGACTGAGTTGATAGCGTAAATTGGCCACCGTAAATCATTTCAAAGCTGATGTTTCGAGCGTTCGCCCTTTGTCGCTCGAAACTCTTTAGGGGGCCAATTTACGTGATCAACTCGCTTGATAGTACCACATTACCTTTTAATTCGGAAAGCTAGGGGGTTTTTTTCGGTGGGCGTATTTCATTTTTCATTTTTAGTCCTGTTAGACTACGAGCGGTTCTTTCGGCGCACGGAGTGAGGCGCACTTCCTTTTTGTGTGCCTCACTTCCAGAGTTCCTTGCAGCGCACTTCAATTTGTTTTTCTTTTTCACAGACTTTATTTGACTTGCGCGACGGACTTCGCCGAAAAGCTGGGACTAAAATCTTGTAGTAGATTTAATATTATATCCTTTAATAACAGCTACCTAATTTAACTCTGGCCAAATGTACATGATACGTGTACATCTTAGAATCATTATTTGCATTGATACTTTTTGGCGCTAAAAAGTTGTTAGTTTAAGTGTTGTAGATATTGTAATTCAAAGTCCGGACCCGTAGCACTCATTAACAAAAAATGAATCAACACATCTGGCTTATGTGTCTATGTCTGGTGTCTATTATTGTCATATGTAAACATAGACTCCAGTTGCGATACACAAGCGCCTTTTTACGTTTTTCAGGCGGGCGAAATGATCGCGAGGAGTACACGAATGACGAGAGACGTGCAAACTTTCCACGCGCGCACCTTGCCCTCTTCTTTACCTTGCGCTTTTCGTAAAAAGGCAAACAACATTACGCTTGTTTTGAGAGTCGGTCTCTCCAGTTCGTTCTTTATTCCCCGCGAGAGGTGCTTCAACTCATTTTCTGACTAGCAGTTGGTTATCGAGCGCAAAACAAACAAAACCCAAAACTTGCTGTTCTGGAGCGATAACTGTTGGTTTATATCACTGTAAACTGAGAGTAATGACCACGATGGCTTTCCTCCAACTTGCCCCCAGGCCATCCTGAAAAGCACATCCAGCAATCCTCGCGGTTATATCATTATCTCCAGATTTTAATTGCGCTCCAGTGCAGTGCTAGGTTACATTCTGGAGAGTGAGATGTATACGTGCGGCAGAGGAAGGGACGAAGCTCTTATTTTCGGAATTTGCAACATATGTTTCATTTAGGACGTTATGCTAAAACAAAGCCCCTCCAGTTTACTGGTCATTCACTGTTAACAAGGTGCACAAGCTGCTGTAGCTTTCTGCTGCTCTAGTCTCTGACCTTGTTTAAAAATGTCTCTGCTTAAGTTTCCTTATTCCAAGACTTGCGAAAATTGTTTCTTTGCGCAGGCTTATAACACCTCTGTCCGCAGTTTTTGAATACAATCAGATATTTTTCTTGAAAACTAAACAATTGAATATCAGTTAAAACGTTTTATAACTTCAGTATTTGAAGGCAAAGTACAAGACTAAATGAAAACCGTTATACCGGGCACAGCCCAAACACTTCTCTCCAATGAAAACTAATTCTGTTACTTGAACGGTTTTTTAGACCCTGCTCACTGGGGTAGAAATTTCCTGTATGTAAAGGAACTTTTGAGTGGTAAAAATCCTGGATAACTGAGTTATTTTCATTGCTTGTAGACGAAGAGTAATACTCCCTTTTCGGTTAAATACGTCGTGCGAGTGCAAAAAATGAGTGGAAAAAGACAATTATGTCGGCGGGCCGGACAGAACTCTGGGAGTTAGGCCTACTTTTCGTGCGCCTCCTACCCAGAGCTCCACGTGGCGCGCTAGCATCAATGTCTCTTTTAACTGATTTTATTTTCCATGCGCAACAGACTTCGTCGATAAGGAGGGACTGCTCCAAGCCTGACTCACTTGAAATCCACTCTTCTAAACGTTAACTCTCAACAAAAACTCTTTGGAAAGTGGCTTACTTCACCAGATTGTTCATGTGGTAGATCTTTGTCGCTCTTTTCGTTCAGTTCTTGTTTATCTATCTCCATCTTCTCTTTGCTTATTTTCTTATTTAAGCTTCTTAACTTGACTGAGCCAGGATCCTTATTGGAGTCTGTAGATTTAGTCCTCCAGGTCGCGGGCACGTGTGACATTTCGTCAATCGCGTTCAAAATTGAGCAAATGACAGTCGAAGTCACTGATAATCCCAAGATCGTAAATGTCATCATTACAAAAGAAGCAAACAAACGCTTGCCGTTTTCACCCAGACCAAGTTTGTCCAGTTTCGACGACTCCTCCACCCGAGGAAAAAGATCACCAAACCCAATTGTGCTGTAGGCGATGAAATTGAAATAAACCCCATCAAAAAATGTCCAACCGTCAAAGATCATGTCAGAAGCTCCACCCACAAGAAGGACTGCTACCATCATTAGGAACGAAACCACCGCAGCTTTGATCCCCACATGGGAGGGGTGCCTCTGTTTGCGGTATTTTTTCTCGACATGTTTTATAGTGTTGTAGATGTATTGATTAATTCGTTCACCGACTGTCTTAAGCACGACCAGATTTAGAGGAATCCCAAGCAGGGCACAGAATATGCAAAAAAGCCGGCCACCAAATGTAAGAGGAACAATATGTCCAAAACCTGTTAACAAGGAAAAAGATATGTAAGGAAGAAAACGAAAACTGATCGGTTTCCTATATAGAAGTTGTTTAAGTTGTTGAGGCTAGATAGAAGTGCTATGTTGTGATTGGTTCTTACCCAATAATATTTCTTGCGATAACTTTGCGAATCGGCGAAGGACCTACAATGATTGGTTGTGATACAGCCAGACAGTAGCGCTATCTTCGTTGATTGTAGTTTGCGCGTGAAGATTTCAATGCATCATTTATGAAGTTCGAAATTTTCGCCCAGATATTTCAGTGACATTCAACCCGCAACTTGAACCGATTTTCTTATCGTGCTGTTATAAATTCTAAAAACGAATCAAACTATTGATCAAGCACTTTGTTGCTTTTGTGCTGGGGACATGGAACAGGGACGAGGACATGGAAGACATTTCAGTGGAACCCGTATGAAGCAGTCACCCTGTATTAAGCAGTCACCCTGTATTAAGCGGTCGATTGACAAAGTCTCGTAATTTTTCCCTTAAGTACTATAATTTTCACCTCTATAAAGCGGTCGTGGTCACCTTTGACTGAGTCCCAACGTCCTGTTTATAATATCCTCCACCTGTATTGAACGGTCACTAAGGCCGATCTACTTAAATAAAACTTAAGATAATTTCTCAAGTCAATTTATTCCATTTTATCTCCTGAAATCAATGTTACTGTGACTTTGAGTTGAAATGTCCTTAACGCATTGCAGATAATCTTTTTTTGGGGACTGTTGGGAGAAAATAGGGGTTTATTTTTGGCTTGTTTTTTAGTTTGTTTTTTGTTTTTGTTTTTGTTGCTCTTGTTGTCGTTGTTTTTTTTAACGCGTCTGACTCCTATCTTGTTGAACTTGTATTAAGCGGTCAACCGAGCGGTCACCCTGCCACGCCCCTGGGTGATCGCTAAATACAAGTTTGACTATACGTGCACTCACAAAAACAAACACCTTGGTTTCAGTTGAACTCTAATAGCCTCTCTTTCCTCCCCTTTTCTCAAACATCTCTAATTTTTTTTTCAATTACAAGCAGCTGAAAAGCTGTAAATGAAATAAAAAGCATTCAATACGAAATTTTATGAGAGCTCGCCGAAATTGTCTCAAAGATCAAACAACAAACGTGTATGAGCAAGTCGGGCTTGTTTTTATAGTTTTGAATCTAATTGGTCGGTGGTTCGCGTAGCCTTCAGGGTTTAGTTATGTTTGGGTTTTCTTTGAGGGTAGCACTTGCCAGAGGTATTTCCGTCGCAAATTGGGTGGAGGGAAAAAGCTTAGCAATCTCGTGTTTCAACGAAAAGAAAAATGCCCGTTCGATCCGTCGCCAACTGTAGTGACGAGCACTTAGAGCAAAGCGTCGCAAATTGTGTGGACGGAAAAAGCTTAGCAGTCTTTTGTTTCAAAAAAAGAGAGGAGATGCCAGTTGTATCCGTTGCCAACTATAGTATCGAACACTAAGAGCAAAGCGACGTAACTTGATCTAAGGCTTTCCTAAAAATAAGTACTTGACTCGAGTACGACATCATTCAAAAGGTCACAATTTCTGACAATAGAAGGAAAGTATCTTGGCGTTTCCTAGCTCATGCTGAAGAAAGAGATAACTCTTCGGCGTTATTGTGTTTTGCGTTATCTATTGCATGTGCAACCCTCGATGATATAGAGGTTTTTATTCACGATCGAGTTGCGATGCATAAAAAAAAACGAAGCGCAGCGAACGAGGGAGATTTTTAAGTGAATTAAAATCGTTCGTGCGCGCTTTCCATGGTATGATGTTTATATTTCATAAACACTGAGAATTTTTTCCTAATGACCGACAAATTTCAAAGATTGGAAGCGAACGACTGTGAAACTGAAAGACATCGCTCGTCCAATTCACGGTGTGAATCCCAGTGCGTATGAAATAAATATAACTTTCTCTCTATGTGAAAGAAGCGCAAAAACGTATAATCTATTTAACTCGTGGCAAGATTAACAACAACAACAAAATGAATTCTCGCCAGTCCTTAGCACTCTTTCTTTGTTTCCTGAAGCTCATGACGGGTGATGGGAATTTTCCAAGTGTAGAATCTCTCTGCTCGAGCGATGACCCACCAGAGGAATGACTAAATAAAGTTTGTGTAATTGATTAAGGATTGTCTGCAGCCATTTATGGAGATATGGGTCGGTAGCGATGATAATGAACCATAGATAAAGGTAAATAAGTTTAAACAAGAAAAAATATAACTTTAACAATATTCAAAATTATGACAAGCAGCAAAGTGCCAAATTTTGGTTGTGCCTTTCATTCGTTCGTGAATCGAATTAAGTCAAACTTTAAGTTTAAATCGTTCATTAGGTAATTTTAAGTCTAATGTAAACCTGGGAAGGTTTTATCCGATGAAATGATCTGAAAATGCGACAGCATTTATTATTTCGCCTAAGGTTAAAGAAAAAAAACAAAAACAAAGAACAGATGAAAAATTGATCGGCAATTAATATTTTGTTATATCTTTCATCGAAACATGTGCGATTCATATGTGAATATATGAGCTTCTGGAAATGTGAAACTTTTGTAATTCAAATGGTGATGTTTCTTAGAACTGGGTGTAACCGAAATGCTGAAAAGAATAGTGAAGCTCTGGCAACAGAAAATGGACAGCAATCAATTGTGTCAAACTCACTTCAAAGTAAACCGATTCATTCACTGAAGAAGCCGCTAAAAGTAAAGAATCGAGACTGTTATCTTGTGATTTTCACAAAATCACTTATAATGTCAAAGCGTGTTCATAATCTGTTTGTTTTACGGTCAGTTTTTTAGCCATGAAGGAAAAGCTAATAACTGGTTTTCGATCATTACAAAACTCCAAGTTGCAATTGTAATATTTGATGGATTAAGCTGTATCGGCACCTAACAGTCGAAGAAGCATCGTTTTAAAGTGCATAATATCATCATAAAATGTGTTTATTCACTTTGCGCTAAAAACCAGCGTGTTAGCTGTTTAACGAAAGGTTTTCGACCTCGCGAACCCCTCGAATAGCTTTTAGCTGCCGACGTTGCCACTTCTTTATTTGATATTTCTATGAAGGCAGATGAACACTTTTTCTCGTACGTTTGCCAAATTGTTATGAAAACAGTAATAGCAGTAAAATCTCTGAGGAATATAGGGAAAACCTCGTTTCCCTTGCGGTGTACGCATAAGATACAGCAAAACCAGACGCACAGTGTGGGAAAGTGCTTCAAAATATTAAGTCTGACTTTGACGAAACGAAAAATAAAAATCTGTCAAGACTTTAGCCGATCCAAACATCCTCTCCTTTCTGTTAGCTCTCCTAGCCTTCAACCTTTCTTTTGACAGTGACAGTCCATTTAATAAATGTTATTCGCAATACATAATACTTACCCATGGTAGTTACCACCGTAGTCGTGAACCAAAACGCGTGATAAAAATTCCAGTAATTTTTGTAGCTTTCAGCATATCCACGCTTGACAAGAACATTAGCGTCGGTGATAAACTCAATGAAATCTTCTTCGCTCATGTTATACTTCTGTTTGTAGTGCTTTTTCTTTCCTTGATATATCTCGTACTGAAGTTTGTCGTTAGCTACTTCAAGAGAGTTAAAGACGACGGCACAAACACATGTGTACAGTACCAAAATAAGTAACAAAATAAACAACCTGAACGACTGTCTTGTGTGCTGAAACTTCAATGTCGCCGTCATTTTTACGGAGCTGTGGTGATTTTTCCCGAAGGACAAGAAAGACAAAGTTTGTCTCAGACGCGCACAAAATTACGTGATTTCCACAGCGTTTCTTGAATCAAACAGTTTTCGTCTCACTTTAAAAAGAGAAATTATACATGTCGTGAAACATATGGCCACGTACTTTTGTTCATCAATTGGCCAACTGATTGATAAAAACCTGGATTCCAAACGTGATGATAAGAATTTAGGGACTTCATCCATCAATCTAGGATCACTGCATTAAAAAAAATTCCATTAAGAAATTATTTCTTTACCCGTCAAAGGCCTTCTTGCAATCACACCATCTGCAAGGCAAAGAAAGTTTTCAGGCAAACATAGAAATACATTATTCATTTCCAATTCAGTGAAGGCTAAATCCTTTTCTAGTAATTGATTGATTGTCGCATCAAACGCCAATAGCATCTGTTTAAAATATTATAACCGTTGCACGATTCATAACTTTGCCACCTTTTGCAATTTAAGGCTTAAGTATGCTCAGTCAACCAGCCTAAAGTCTGTTTTTCTTGCGCTTCGCGCAAATAATGGAAGATATATTTGTGTTTAGAGTTCTCTCGTGATCGGCTGTTCCATAGAATCAAACACCATAGAAATATCGGACGAACCGGTCACAGAGGCGAATTATCATTCGGGCAATTATGAAATAGTTGTTGCTAATTGGTAAAAAAACGAAATTGAAATTTGACAAGTTGAAGATGGAGCACTCGAAAATAAGTGATGTGTTCTTCTTATGCAACAGATCGTGCGTGTAACTGATCATGTCAAAATCAGATGACGCTGTCCGACTTATTAATACCGCAACCGAACAATTCATCTTGTGCTTTCCTTAAGTATACCGTAAAAAAATGCTACCTTGAGGAAAATTATCCAATTTAGCTTAGTTATTTACAGTTCAGTTAGGTGAAATTTTCACCTTGGAGAAAAAAAGTTCTGAATTCTATTGAACCGATTGATGTTGAATAAGGTTGTTCCAGGAGCAACTCTTTCATAAGACTGTTGTGTTTTGTGTGAGTTACTTGTTCGCGAAGCTTTCTGAAAACGTATTCACTGGGTACCATTAACACTTCACTAACCCACAATAGTTTAATTTAGATTGTCTTTGAGGTAGACCAAAATCCTTTTTTTAACAAAAGGCTCGCTTGATTAACCTGAAAGCTGTTTTGTAGCAAAAACAAAGCTTTATTGCGTCAATCATTTTTTAGTTTCTTCCACTAGAATGTTTCGTGAAATTTGGCGTTGAATGTTGCCAGGAAAATTCGGAAAAATTACCATAGTGGTCATAAAAAGTGAAAAAACAAAACAAGGCAAAAAAATTAATGTAAAGAACAAAAAAACGAAAAACCAACGACTATGAATAATTTAGTTGATAAAACTTAAAAATTGTGCATATGATTCTGGTAAAGCAATTCTAGTTACGTTATTCGTAATGTATTAAGTGGGTACTTAGCGATCGAACGTTAATTCAACCAATGTAAATAGAGCTAAGCGCTTTCCTCAGCGACAAAAAAGCAGCATGAAAATAATACAGAAAACCCCTCAGTGCGCAAGAGGAAATTTATGAATACAGCGGAAAGGTTTTTATTAGCTAATGGCATTCAGCTGGAGGCAGAAATCATTTAGAGTCGTTCGTGATTATCTCATAATGCCACAGGTGAAAGAGGGGCTTATCTATAAGAGTGGTTGAAAATGTTCGGTCAATTTCTCTTTGAAGTTTCTGACTTTCGTTTTATCCAATCAGAGTATGGCGCAAGGGCTCGGGAGTCTGCCGAACGCTAATAAGGGGTAGAAGAAGCAACGACGGCGACGCCGTGGACAACGTCGGTTAAAAAGTGAACCTTCATTTTACCTACGAATCTCGCGATACTCTATAGAGTCGTTTAGTTCGTTTTTCACGGTCAAAACTGTCTCGAAACTGAATAAGGAACACAGCGTTAAATTACTAATAGAAATATAAAAAATTAGCCAGTGTTGTTCACGTTCTCCAGACGACGCAAAGTTTGGTCATTTGCAGAGGACGCAGAGAAATCTACAAAATTTTTTAACGCACGTGCACAGCCATTTTTATACTCATTAAACCTTTTGTTTGGTGACGTCCCCGTTGCCATCGTGGTTTTATTAAACTCCTAAAAAAATGTCAAGAGAGTACGACTGCAGGTACTTCCGAAGTTCGCCGTTAACTTGCCTCAGGTATGTCTTCATCTCAGACATAAAATTTAACATTAAAATTGACAAACGCTACAGATAACTGCTAAACTGACTGCTTTTGGTTTCTGAGGAAAGAAGTTACTTGACTAATGGAATATCGCATATAAACAGAGAGAGCAAAACAAAACAACAACATTCGATGAAATTTTATCTGAAATACGAAGAAGATTCCTCCCAGGAAGTTCTTGACTTCTCTGAAAATGAGTACCTCTCGAACCGTCTGATAAGAACCGAAGCTAATGTTCTCCAGTTGTAATATAGTTCGTCAAGGACTTGTATGTTTTTTTTCGTTTTGCCTGTCAAGGATGGAGCAAAAGAGTGCTAGAGTGCTATTAAGATGCAGATCGTCTCCCTTCTCCCGTGTTCTCAGCCAGAGTCTCCCGGGCAAGTGTCTTCATCAGATCATGAATTCACGTGCATTATTTTCACGGAAAACATGTTAAGGTAACTTCGGGTAGTTTTGCCATCAGATGACGTTTAACCAGTGTTTACTAATATAATTTACAGGGTGGAGCTTGTCAAGTTATTATACTCGTATTTTGCATAGGCGAGGAGTGTTCAGTAACTAATAAGAAGAATTATTAGTTACTGAACACTCCTCACCGATGCAAAATACGAGTTTGTTCATTTCTGCTGAGCTGGTACCTTTCTTCACAAATAGAAAATCTTGAATAAATTCTGAATGCGGAAAAATTTAACAAAAATAATGTTAATAATGGTTCCGCCGATTTCTGTTGACTCCAGTTTGAGCGATTACGCAGCCTGTTTGTGAGTTCTCTGTCATGGAAGACAAAAGACATTCTCTTTTGTTGTAAATTAACAGTCACAGATCCTTCTAAAACTTTGTGCTGAAAATTAAGCCCTAGAATTTTGAAATACACAGGAAATTTATATTTGCTCTAGAAAATCACCCTTTCATTTTTAATATCACCTCTTCTGTTTCATTTTGCCAGGCCTAGGCCAGGCGCCAGGTGCTTTTAGTCGAGAAAATGTGAATTAAGGAAAATTTGATTGACCAAAATGGCGCCAATGTGGCGTTTAACTTACGTATCCATAGCGACGTGACAGCCAATTAGAACTCCTGGAATGATTACACCGTGTTACTTGTTATCTGATACGAACCTCATTTCACTGAAAACACGTCGAAGGCATTTTGGTTCCTGAATCCAGCCAAAAAACTTGTATAACCCCGTTTTAATCAAGGAATGGAAGCTATGCCTACGTTTACACCAAGCGGAGGCCAGCAACTTCTTGTGCGGGGAACAATTCAAGAAAATTTCGACGATAAAATGCCTCTTACAAGTCGATACGCATGGCCTCGTAGGTCGGAATCGTCGCTAAGCACAAGTAGCTTTCCAAACAGAAACAGCAAAAATCCATTTTTTGCGAGGCATAACCCTCATCCACAGAGAGTGAGGCATCTTAAAGGACTTTTAGATGTCCCAATTTGCACTGTGATCGATTATACAGTTTGTACACCTACCGTTGGGACACCAACCATCGACCAAATGCGGCAGAGACCTTTGAAATCCAGCCATGGTTTGCACTTACCAATCAATCTAGACAGTGTGAAAGAAAAGGCCGTCCCATCCGTTGGTTTAGGTAAGATTTTTTACTGCCTTTCATTCCACCTTTTTTACTTTTAACCCATGATAATGATGCTGTAATCGCACTTAGCAACGATAAATTGTTTTGAGCCACTTTGGATCAGATGATAATTGATAATTCCTCAGGTGCAATTTCTTTGTTGTTCTGGGAACGAACGGTTGTGTTAAATTCAGGTAGAGAAATAGCTAAAATGCTATTGTGTTGAAAATGCATCCGCTAAATCACGAAAGGCAAATAGAATAAAGTGCTTTTATTGCTTTGTTTGAGTCTTTCTTTGCTTCGCAAATTCGTGCCATCATGGAAACTCGTTCGACAAAATTGCACGTCAATCGTCAAGGTTGCTGTCAATGCCAATTCTAACTTTTAATTTGCTAATAGCCGTGGAAGTTTTAATTAAAATACTCTGTCTAGCATAAGCACATAAAACAAACAGTTTTAATCTTTACCATTATTTTGTGTTTTTTTAATTATTTGCATTTCTATCTATATCTTCGTCATAATATACTGAGTTTTAATAACTTCGGAATTATAAAAACAAACCAGTTGCCACTCTGTGGACTTTAATTCACTACTATTAATGATTTCGTTTTCTTGTTTGAAATAAATTTCAATTTTAGTTAAGCTAGGAGAAAAAAAAAACTTTTTTTTCTACAAATACCCTATCTTTTCATTTTAACTCTTAAGTACACGTTTTCTAGCATTTTTTAAAAATGTTTGCAGAATTAACTAAAACCTTTATGTAAATCGCAAAGATTATCCGTTTTAACTTGACCATCCCAAACATATATTTTTAATTCTGTTCTAATCTAATTAGATTCTGTTCTAAAGGTATATAATCATTGACTTCAATTGACCAGCACTGCAAATGTTAAAAACGACAGAAATGTTCAAGATTGTTACAGAATTGAATTAAACATCACAAAAAAGTTATATTTCCTTCCGTTACATGTTAGCTGGTGTCCTTGTCTAAAGCCTCAAGTTCCTAAAGAGAATTCCTTCCTGTAATAACCCCTATCAATACAGTTGCAAGTTTTTAATAAGCCTTTCTCCGACAGCCCTCATGTGGCATTTCTAGTTTCTAATAATCTCTCTCTGACAACCCCTGTCTAGAGTTTCAAGTTTCTAATTTGTCCTTTCTCTAACAACCCTGTGTAAAATGTCAAGTTTATATTAAGCCCCTTCTCTTAGGGGCCCCCTGTCCAGTGTTTCAAGTTTCTAATTTGTCCTTTCTCTAACAACCCTGTGTAAAATGTCAAGTTTATATCAAGCCCCTTCTCTTAGAGGCCCCCCTGTCCAGTGTTTCAAGTTTCTAATTTGTCCTTTCTCTAACAACCCTGTGTAAAATGTCAAGTTGATATTAAGCCCATTCTCTTAGAGGCCCCCTGTCCAGTGTTTCAATTTTCTAATTTGTTCTTTCTTTAACAACCCTGTGTAAAATGTCAAGTTTATAATTAGTCTTTTCTCTTAGAAGCCCCACTGTCTTATGTTTTAAGTTTCAGAGAATATACTCTTAAAGAGTGTCAAGTTTCTATTAAGCCTTAGTCTTGTTTAAGCTCCTGTGTAGAGTTTCAAGTTTTTAACAATCCCTCTCTTTATTAGAAGCCTTTTCTGTATGCTTATATTCCACTTTAGATCCCATCTTATGTGCAGGCCTAGAACTTTGACACTGCTCACTGTCTCTAATGGCTTACCTTTTGCTACAAGGGGCTCATAGTCAGGCTTTTCCTTTTTCCTATCAACCCCCATATAGAGATTCCAGAATTAGATGCGCCTTCCTCTTAAACAACTTCCCTCCAGTGTTTCAAGTTTCTAGTGAGCCTCTTCCCTAACTGAGTAAAGATTCAAGTTTTAAGGCCCTCCTCTGTTGGTAAACCCTGTCTATATTGATAAGTTTTCAAGGAGATCCTTGTTTAAAGTTTAGGTCTCTTGAATTTCCCCTTGCCCCCCCTCTCCCCCCTGTCAAGAGTGTTTAGTTTCTTGTTTGTTTCTTCTCCATTCTCTTCACCTAAATGAAACTGCTAACCAAAATTAGGGCGAAATAGTAAATACTATACAAATGGTTATCCTACAATATTTTGTAGTTATCCTTTGGGTGATGCATTTATATTTTGATTAGACAATTTGCATCAGAAAGCCTTGTTTATTTCCTATAATTTTTAAATATTGAAGAGTTTCAGCCAAAACAAGGATGCTAGTTTTAAATAGTTATCAAGCTTCATGACAGTTCAGATTAAGATATGTCTCTCTCTCCCTGGCTCCTTGTGGGTTAGTAATTAATCCCTCAATCTGACAAGGCTTTTTTTTTATATTCCCCCTCCTTCCCTACTTTTCCTCTCCCCCTCTCCCAAGCCTTGTGGTATTACTCCAAAGAGCTTGGAAGTCAATCCATGTGTCTTGCTTGTGAAATTCTATGGAAGGCGTCATTTGAGTGAACTGTACGATAGACTACTGGGCTTATTTTCTGAAGGAAAAAAGTCAAGTGCTATGTTTGTTTTTATGGAAATGGTTGATAGATCAGGATTTTGTTTTTCCAAAGTTTTATTACATGTATTTTTAAATGATCAGTAACAGGGCTTTTTATTGTCAAACTCTGTCTTCGATCTTAGTTGTAATTAACAAATAACCTTTATCTTCATTGTAGTCCAAGTTTGTTTATCACAGACAGACTGATTAGGACTCCACCAGGTCATATTACCTTGCATTAAACTTCAAGGTAATGACCATAAAACCCCACTAACAATTATGATGATTGTTACTCTGCAGTCCCAATAACAGAAACCTGGCGAGAGGAGTTGAGGAAACTTACAGAAGCTTCTGGCCTTAAAAGCAAAAGCCGCTACACCAACATTGCAAGTTATCAAGTGCCTCCATCGAGGCAGGGATCAAGACTAGGGGAGAGACCTCCACCATCAAGAGGTGGTATGCTTCCTCCTCCATCAAGGAATGGAGAGAAACCACCATCAAGAAATGGGGAAATTCCCCCGTCACGTAATGGCGAGAAGCCACCATCGAGGTTGGGAGAGTCCAGACAGGGAGGCAGGCCATCTGTACTGCGAACAGAACTTCCCTTGCAGCACATTGCTGCAGATACTGATAGTGATCTGACTGTAAGTATTATTCAAAAATTATGTGCAAAAGTCATGGTGAATGTCAATCAAAGTGATGCATCTCTATATAACCAGTGCAATATTGTACTGAAATGGATTTATTGGGTTTATGATCTTTATGTCACACTCAGGGTACACAAGGGTGTAATCAAGTATAGATGATCTCACTAGTTTTCCTAATACAGGCAAGACATAGTGGAAGTGACTAAAAGCATTCCCTATCAATTCTCTCGTTTCCAATGTAGGTGGGAAGGTTGAATGTACCTCTCCCATACAAATTGGCAGAGAGGCTTGTGACCAGGCTTGAAGTTTGCAGCTCACAGAATTATTCTGTGAGCTGTCAAACTATTTGATCTCATTTAGGGTGTTTAGCATGTGCAAAATGTTTTTCCTTTATATATTCCTTGTAGCTGTGAAGTTATCTTTAAGGTTATAAGGGAATCATGGTAAAAAAAACTCTCATGTACTTTTGGTTATGAAAATTGGCATAGAATAAAGCAATACATAGAGCTTAGTGGAGACATTATCATTAATATCATGCAAATAGAAATTTAAACATTTTTATTTATCCATTTTTATGTGCTTATTACATGTGTTTGGTTAAATCTTAGTTGTACTGTAAGAAGGCAGAGAAATGTTTAGTATAGAAAATGTAATTTTTAGTACTTGATATTGAGCATCAGCATGCCATCTTGTTGTTCCAAGAGTCTTGATGTCAGACAAGAAATAAAAAACCCACAAATCTAATGGGGTGAGAAGTCTGAACAGCTAGACAATTCTCCCCTTTGCAGTTCCATCTCTACTCCAAGGATTACTACAAAGTATAATGGGTGAAAAGCATTTGAATATTGCTGAAATATTCACAATGTATGTCTTTTCTTTTTTATGTCTTTTTAGATGTACAACATGTTGGTTAACATTCTCCGACCAACCCATCCTGATGATATAAAATCATGGTTAGTCCATGCTCCTGAAAGAGGTATGACCATAACAAATTTTCAAAGTGGGGTGGCATACTTTTCATGAAGAGGCTGTTAAAGGGTTAAGACATGGGAATTTAACCATATTCTCACGATCGTAGTCTATCATAGTGTCCTTGGTTTAAGCTTATGATCACTGCAGTGGTAGTTAGACAAATTAAGTCTTTAGTTTTGCCCAGAGCATGAGCGCTATAGTCAATTTGAGTCAAGTCAATACAAATTCATCCATAAGGTGTCTCACAGACTCCTTGATTCACTGTTGACCTTAAATGTGCATTTTAATCTTTAAGTTAAAAAATTGAAGGCAAGGAATTATTAGCTATGAAACTGTCAGTAAAAGCTACAATACTAATTAAAATTTACTCTAACATGTTAGCTATGGGGTGTTTTGAATTGTACGTAAATTTGGTAATTCAAACTGAATTGGTGTTAGCCCCAAATAACACTCTGCTCAGATAGAATAGATTAAAAGATCAAGTTTTTAAATTTTGTCTACCTTTATAAGCTAAGAGGCTAGATTGATCAAAGCTCAAATTTTCATGGTAGGCCCAGATGCTTGAAAAAGATCTTAGATAAGTCTGCTGCAAGTTGACTGCATCTTTTATCTTGCTGTCAAGCCCCTTATCTGGAAAAGGGTTTTGAATATAGGATTTTGTTAAGGTGGCTTTAAATAGTGCTGTCAGGCAAACAGGGTGTCTGATACAAAGTTTTACTTGTCTTCAAAAACATGTGATTTATCATGTGATTTAATTATGCTTTTATCAACCCTTTCACTCCCACAATTACATTAGTGATTCTCCTTACTGTTTACCATACAATTCTTCTAGTGTTAGTTCTGAGAATTTGATATCGGATCAAGTAATAATCCCCTAATTGATATTTTTCTTTATTCTCATCTCTCTTCTGCTTGAAATTTAATAGACTTTGTAAGGAGAAATTCTCTCTTGGTCATTCATGGGAGTTAAAGGGTTAAACACTAACTTTAGATTTACTCCAATGTTGCATTTGCAAAATTGCTCTTTCCTATCTTACATGTATCTAAGTGATGACTAAAGTTTCCTTTGCTTTGTGATCACACAGAAAAAGAAATTGTTCTGGACATGATCCGTGCAGTGTGCACATCTGATAATGAGTACAGAGAAGGATTTAATGAAACAATTAAGTCTGTAATGTATGATGATCAGCTGCTACAACATGAGTCCAGCCTTGATTTGGATGAGATTCAGAAGTATAATGAAACTAAAAGAAAGGAGAGAGAAGAGCTGGAGAGGAAGAAACAAGAGAAAGAAGAAGCAGAGAAACCAAGGTAACAGATCATTGTTGTCTCCAGATCTTTCACACAAGCTGAATCCCTTTCCACCCAAACTTTAAAGGACCTGCACAGTATAGTGTAAATAATTAAATCTCTAGTTTTTGACTGTCAGTTAGTTATCCAGGATTTTTTCAGCTGGAGATTTAACACCAACTGCATCAAAATGGTATTTAGGACCATGCTAGGATGTTTTATACCATTTATTAATGGTGGAGGGGGAGGGGGGAGGGAGGGAATGACTAGATCAAGTATATTAGTAACAACTGCCATAGGCATGCTTGCCATTAATGATCCTTTGTTTCTCAGACATGATATGAACCCTTCAGTCTGGTTTTCATTTCTTCAAGTGTGCATATATATAGGCCTTTACCTTTTATTATCATTTCTATGAATTGGTGTCTTAGAGGCAGTCAACATGTGGTATAATTTCTATGGACATTCATGGGTCTTAGTGTTATCTTTAAATGTACAGTTTGAGTCTTATGGGAAATATACCTGTTTTTGCTTTAAATAAAAGGCACTCTGATCTTGAGATTTTGAACTTTTTTTTAGTGACATATCAGATTTAAAAATAAAAGGAGTGCCTGAGTATCTTTGCAAGTGTAGGACATTACTGTTTTCTGGCCATATGAATTTACTCTCCTCCCTGACTGCAGCCTTTTAATTTAACCCTTTACACCCTAACATCAGTATGCACATTCTCCATACTGTTATCTGTACATTTTCTGAGGTGCAGACAAGGAGAATTTTTTTAATAATCAAGGGAATCTTTAGATCATGTCTTTTATTCTCATGACCTTCACATTTGACTCAGGGCTGATATTGTAGGGAGAAACTAAATGCTAGTCACTGTAAGGTGTCTAAGTGTTAACTGTGTGCCCACTTCTTTCTTCAGTCTGTCAGTCTCACTGCTTGTTTCATAAACCTTTTATTTCTGTTTTTCTATTCTGTCACAGATTTGGGGTTCCATCTATTTCTTACCCAGTGGCCCAAAGCTTCTCTTTGACTCTACAGGGCTTTTCTTTGGCAACAAAAGGTTTTTCTATTCCTCTTTTTTTGTTCATCTTCTGTCCTGATGCAAGCTAATTCTGGGAAATACTTTTCCAACACTCATGTTCTTTATTAACTGTTTCTATTGTCCTCATTCTGAAAATTTTTGAGGAAGTTTATTTATCCTTGAAGTGTGGTTATCCATGTGGACATCACTAAAGAATTAAAGAAAGAGAATTTCACTTCACCTCTCTCTCTTCACTTTTTTCTTTTCCTAGAAACATTTAAAGTGATTCATACATGTACATTCACAGTGCAGAGATTATTAACTATGACCATATTGCCCAGTAAGACAAGAAGTCCATCAGAACTGCACCTCCTTTTTAGCCACAAAGTACTACTTTTCACTCTCATTTTCATTCCTTGTAATCAAATTCTATGCTTAATCATCCTAACTCATACTTTTTACCACTTAGTGCTCTTATACCACTGTAACGAAAGTCATTCAGTTGACTTCTCTCTCTGCCATGATCAACTCCTGTGCTAAATTATGATAATTTTCCTAGGACACCCCGGTCAGCAGGCTCCCAGGGCTATACTCAATATCAATGGACAAGTCCTGGATGTAAACCCAGCTCACCATTTATTGCCACGGAGAAGAAGAAAGAAGCATTGATTGAACAGAGCAAACCAAGGCCTGGGACAGCAGAAGCAGAAATTGAAGGTAGAAAAGCTCATTAGTTCAGGACAATAACACACAGATCTAGTTATCTAGTTATATATAGCTATCAGATCTCTCTAGTTATTTCTGTTGTCAGTTTTCAATTCTACCATGAGACTCACTTACTCACAAGAAATGTCTTTTTTTTTTTTAAGAGATTCGAAGTCGGCTCCAGTCCCGCTCCTCACCTCGAGTGTTTACACATCAGAGAGCCTCAGCATCACGACACTCTGCTCGGCCCCAGTCTCAGCAGAGTGTGTATGTTCCACCTGCTGAGTGCCTGGAACCTGCTGCCATCAGGCCTCCTAGTCACCAGTCCATCAAGTCACAGCAGTCAGTGATTCGCAGTATCTTGTCATACAAGCCACAGCAAAATCAGTGATAATACTGTTCATGATTCTTGCTGGCATAATTTGAATATTTAGATAAATCACTGTAATTTCAAGGCATTTTAGTGTAATATATAATTTATTTTACTTGTCAATGAGCACTACCTCATAGTTCAACCAACACAATCAGAGATGTTAGACTAAGAGGTAAGTTAGTGTTTTGTACAATTTTTAAGTGTCTTACTCAAATACTACTTGTATTGAGATCCACCTCTCTTACTCAAGGAATGATGGGGTTTTATTATAAAACCTCCTAATAAAGTTACTGTCTTAGGAACAATTAACAGCTTCCCATGAGAGGGTTGGAAATTAAGCAATTGTGTCAGTCTTGTTAAAGAAATTTTTTGGCAAGGTTTTTTTAAATATTCACTTTCCACTTAAGTATAGCACACAAACCCCATTTTTTTCTCTCAATTCACCTTTGATGCAAAAAGACATTTTTTTTTCTTGGAATGGCACAAACGCAGTAGGTTACACATCTAGTTTTGCTATACACTCTTTTTGAAAAAAAAAACAGCAAAAGACTGAATGGAATTTAAAAAATCTTAAACCTTTTGCATGGAGTGTGCAGAGATGTACTACCCTCTGAAAATAATTAAATTACCTTATCTTGGTTTGAATTAAAGTGTGTAAAGGATGACTCCTCAGAGTTATAAAATACTAAATAACAATTCAGTGAGATTTTGTTGGCCTGTGCACTTTCAATTACCTGAAAGAAAATGTGAAATAGGATTCGAGTTGTCAATGGTTGGGAGGATGCGTACACAGGCAAGACTATCAGCAGAAAATAGAATGTAATTTTATGTACATTTGAAAAGAGAGAGAAGTGGCTCTTTGGTACACCAGCTGGTGTAGTTTTGTAAGATTTTTTTAGATGAACTACTTGAAAGTATGACTGTTTTAGATTTCATTTGTAAATTCACCAATAAGAAAATTAAAAGAAACTATTGTGTGTGCTGTTTTAACCTTTGACTGCCAAGAGTACTAGTATCTAATTTTTCTTCTTAAAATAGTGCTCCTGAATCACACATCAAGGACACAAGAATAAAGAAAATGAGCTCCATTTAAAGAAACTTGTGATTGTTAAAAAAAAAATTATTCTTGTCAGCACCATGGTAAGTGTATAGAGACCTGTATGGAGAATATGTATACTGACGTATGGGTGTAAAGGGGTGAAAGATACTGTGGACAGTTTGGTCAGTCCCTATGCTGTATAATTCCTCCCTTTCTATAATGCCTTCCTTGTGGAGGTCTTCTCTCTTCTCCTTAGTGAAAGCTTTAGGGTAGTTGTTTGTTATCTATTACCATCCATTTTAGGCTTGGTAACGTTTATGCAAAAAAGTTTGATAAATTGCGTTGTGATGGGAACAATTAAGTGAGGTACTAGTCAGGAGCGAGTGTGTCACTGCTTTTGTCGGAGTCTTACAATTATTGATTCTGTAAAAACAATATAAACATTAAATCATGTCATCGGCTTTGAACGGAAAGGCAAAATGAATGAATTTAGGAGCTTTCTCCATTACGTCTTACGGTTACAATTACATGTCCGTGTGTATTTTTTATTGCTTTATTTGCAAGTCAAAATAAATTGGGTTTCTTTTTAGTTTAGGTTGAGAGCCACCTTAATTTTTTCGATAAGTTCTGTTCTTCGTACCTTCACCCGAAATAGAATATATAGAAAGACCTAAGAAACCACATGAGTGTCTGGCTCCTATATTGTCCGTATCACCTTTGAACCAACTGTTAAGTTTATGACGCAAAGGAAATGATCACCATTTAGTGAAGCTCCTGATTGTAACAAAAAAAAATGTTTGTTAGGACCCTTAAAACATTGAAAGAGAACGGTTTGGAGAATATGAATTTGGAGACGTCAGCGTGGAAAGCTAGGCTTGTAATGTTAGTCAGGCGTTTGTACTTTGGTGGATCAACAACTCAGTCATAGAGTTCGAAGTACCTATGATTAATTTGCAGAACAGACAGCAAAATAAAATATATTTGTTAATTAAATAACCGGGGGCAGTGGGTTGGGCACAAGCTACACTTGATGTGTTGACTACGTTTTACTCAACACGGTGACCCCAACCGGAGATGGAATTTGGATTGCTCGGTCACCGGGTCAGTGAACTAAACGATAAGTCGTACCATTTAAATCACACACGTACTGTTTGTAGTTACTGTTGACAACTCCGGTGAAAGGGGAAAGATCATGTAGATTTAGACCACTTCCGGTAGAAAGTGAGCCAATGTAATCTTGTGTAATAATTGAAAGTGAGCCAAAATAATCTTGTGTAATAATTACGACCAATCTAGAAAACGTGGAAAGGTCCAAGACAGTTTAATCGTACTATTTCATTTTATCTCTTGTTCCGTGTCTTAAAAGCATAGATGTCAAGTCCCTTTTATCGTTGCAACTTAATTTTAAAACATTGAGTGCTATAGATGCCATTCTTTTGCCTAGCTGTCTTTTCTGACAACATTATACGAAACGACAAGAGTTTGGCAGTGAGTAAAAATCTCCAGCTCTCTTCTCACTCGATCCTAACGTTTACTTTTCGCAAAACAGAGTAGTGACCTTTAGGCAAATGGAGTGCACTCTCGAGCTGAGTCGGGAAAACATTTTGCCTGCGCTGATCAGTTGTTGAGAATCCTTGCACATTTGTTTCCTTCTACGAATAGAAATGGCGATTTAAACAGCGTCCTCTTTCGAGCTACAAAGCTAATTGTTGACGATTATGGTGGAGTTGAACAGGCTGTCAATATTTCCGTCAAATAACTCACTGTTAAAACTTCCAGGTGGTCGGAAACTGCGCACGAAGTTTGAGAACCGGGCAGATATCTCTTGGGAGGTATGAACGGATGTATCACTGATTTTACATGCGTCACGCGAGGAGATACGCAAAAAAATACTTGTATTATGATTTGACTGTTTACATTTTTAATTGCCTTAAGTACTTCCTAAAAATAACAGATTGTTAGTTCGTACGTGTGGTGATGACAAAGACATATACCCAGTAATATTATGTTATCATGTAAGCAATGAACACTGCCTTGTTCTGGCGTGAAGATATGGGTCTGAATGACTACTCTGACAAGCGATGTGGAAGAAATATGTTACATGATAGATAAGAGGCCAATTGCAATTAGTTTGTATACGATGCGTGGTTAAAGCCAGTAACTGGGAGGAACCGGAGATCCAAATGATCGGAAACAGAGATCTTTCTGACCTTAATGAGGGCATCTTGATCTGTCCTGAATGTTTGTCATTGCGTATTAATGGTTCACAGATTATAACACGTAATAAATTCGATAAACTTGCCAAGTTTTTTCTTGAAGAACTTTCCGGGAGATGTCGACTCTGTGCCCTTCCATCCCCTCTCCAGGAGCCGCTATACCCCTCTTAGGTAAGAATGCCGTTTAGTATTTCGAGTAACAAAGTAGTCTCTGACGCACATAGTACCTTGAAAGAAGTTGTTGTGGATGTTTTTTAACCACTGGCCAAGTTAGGGCAATAATTTGTAAAATTAAAGTCAAACCTGTTCCGGTAATTTTGTCAGTTTTGTTGTCCAAAAATGTGTAGAATTGGAGTGAACAATCAGTGCTATGCATGTGAGACGCATCTTTCCACTGGTAAACAATAATGTAAGTATGTTAAATCTTTAGGCCATTCTTTGCTTGATTGCTTTACTTAGACTTGTATTTAAATTAACCTGTTGCACAGTGACAGGAAATACTCGAACTTTGTAGTACTGTTAAGACGTTTTTGGCTATTCCCATAAAATGTTTCGTTTATCACCAGACCGACTGATCTTTTGGCAAAAGTTAAAACAAATAATTTAACTCTTAAAGAAGTTCATATTCTTCATAGTGTCAAGGGCAGATGATAAACACTTTCTTTTGAATAAGAAGTTTTTGTATCTGATTTTATAGCCTGTCTGTTTTATCGGATGTGTTCTGTTAAGAAGATAATACCAAAATAGGGAACGCGCACCCCCTCGGCGTTTCCTTTTCCTTGCGCTTTCCGAGATAATTCATTTTTCCCTCTCCTTTTCTTTTCGGGAGGGTGATGAGGATCGAAACATTTTATGGAGAAGGCATTTGTTAAAAATAGATTTGCCGAGTCACTGTTGACGCGACTAACCAGATTTGACAGATTTGGCTCACACTCAAGAAGATATTAAACACCACATCCTTTGCCTTTGGCGTTTTGTAAACCCTGCAAAATATCTACACACGGTCGCTTTCCGCGCTTGAATGACAGCTTGCGTTTTAACTTTTTTTTTTAATTTGTGTGCCGGTGAGAAAGCTTCTGTTGGACCTAGAGCGATTCCTTCTTCCTTACGTAATCTATCGTGCGAGTTGATTGAGTGGAAAAAAACGTACGTGCGGGTTGATTGAGTTAAAAAAAAAAAAATAGAGAGAAAAAACCGTGGGCCTTTCGTGCGTCTCGCTTATCCGAGTTCGAGCAGGAAATTTTTTCTCCCACGCATCAATTTCCTCTGACTCGCGACTGACTTGCGATCGGGCGACAGTTAATTTAAGGAAAGAAAAATGACTTGTACTCTAAGGCATGGTTTTTAATCACTTTAGTCTCGAAAGCAAATAATATATAAGTTTGTCAACTCATACCATTTTTAACTCGCAAAGGTTTTCAAAAAAAGGTTTCTAACAATTATTCATTCTGTTCAACATTTAAAACATGATTTTTTGTGCCAACCTTTTGAGGTTAGTTACGAGGCAATAGATTTTTTGATAAATCACGAGTGTGGAAAAGGTTGGTCACGGTCAACCTAAGGGGTTTGGAGAAAATACACCCTCTCCCTACCCCACTAAAAGAACATAGAGCGCAAAGTACGACGCTTCCCCCTCCTCCATCGCAAAATTGTGCATGATAGCTTATCAGTTGAGCGCAAACAGAGGTTATTAGATTATTAAACGATTTCAGCTGCTGGGCAAGGTGTTGTACATCGCAGGAAATCCGTCTTATTCCGACCTGTAACCGCTTTTCATGACCATGGCACAGCGACGGGAGGAGCGCGCACATATTATTTGAGTGTCAAAATCTAACAACAACAAAAACAACAACAACAACACGAATCATTGGCAGTATTCCGGTGAATGCGTGTAGCGGATAAGAAAAAAAAAACCACTGTTATATATAACTCTACATAGCGCGAAAGCGGCCATTATACAAGACAGAAACGTTTTTAATCAATGCTAAATTTGATTATTGGGTGGCAAATTATTTGCAGGCCCAAAACATGTGCCCACCATCCGTAGCTTTAACAGCAAGGTTAAATTAACATGAATTTTTTCATCTGTCTGAAAAAGAAAACCATATCTTGGGTCAAAAATGGAAAGGATTACTAAAATAGGAAACAGACTTGCTAATGCCAAATGAACAAAGTGGGGCAGGTTTCTAAAGAAACTGTGGTGCTGCGTCGTTGGGAGAGTATAACAAGGTAATCCGGTATTATCAACTCGGTCGATGACGTAGGTTGGCCTCAATAAAGAGTTTCAAAGCTGAAGTTTCGAGCTTAAGCCCTTCGTCATTGTTTCGCAAGGTATAATAAACAAGCCATGAATTATTCGAACAGTGTAAGGTCAAATTTGTTGCAATTCAGTTGTGTCTTCTTTTCTATATAAAGGATAAATTTTCGAGGCTATATCCTTAACTAACCCCAAATTCTATAAGCTATCTCAGATGTTTTTCTGTAATATTCTTAAAAACAAAAGGAAAAAATCTCAAGGTCAAGGTCAAGTGCATCGTAACCTCTGGAAATTCAGTTCTGAGCCAAATTTTGAATCTTTTTTTAACGAAATATGTCGCAAATGGCTTTATAAAAGTCAAGGTTTTCGGGTCATCGAAGAGTTCAAAGCGTTTGGATCAAATGCAAGCATAAGTTCTCCCCATTTGTGCTCCAGAATTTAAGAAATGATCGCTAGTTTGTAAGTTTACCTTACCTGTGCATGAGTGCTCAAAAATCCTCACCAATGAGATTTTTTATTCCTCTTGAAAATCATTGTTCTTTAGTATTTTGGCTTTTAATTTTATCAACTCTCTGATGGAGCAAACAAATGTCTCCCTATTTAACATCAACTTTACGAGATTAATTTTTTTTGTGGTAGAGAAGGATCCAATTTAACATCTGTTGAATCGTAAAGAAAAAAAAAAAGATGTTTGCACTTGCCCTTCGTTCTGAGTTTTCTTCCGGAAGTTTGGTAGCAGAAGACCTCAAAATTTCCAAGGAGGCTCTCAGCAAGAAAACATCAATATTTCTGCGAACAAAAAACTCACGCGAAATGAACGACTTCGATGGTTGTGGAATTTTGAGACTTGAGCGTTTTAAGAAAAACTATGTCCAGGTATTCTCGTCTCGTTGAAAATAGCGAAGAGATGAAACTCAAATAGAAGCTCGACCGCAACAAATCTGTGGGCATCATCAGTTGTCAACGCTGCCATTGATTTCATCGAAGACTCTATGTTCATGTTATTATTTTCCAAATGACTATCTTCACTTTATTTTTGTTTTTTCTTCAGTTCATCCAAACGGGATTCTCCGCCAATCAAAGCTAGCTCATGTCACTGTTTGAACAACCCCTCAATAGCGGAAAACATTTGTCTTGGGCCAGATAATCTTGTATTCCTTATGATATGCTTAAGTCAAAAAGCCGATGAATGCTTCTAAGTAGTCCGAGAATCACATGGTTTAAAAATTTCCGGGAATTTCCGGGATTGTATCGTGTAATTCATTCTGGTTGGGTGTTCTTTGGCACTGGGTCAAGCCATATTTAAATTGAATTTTCTTCAAATTTTCGCTCTAAAAATAACGCACGTGACAAAGCAGTCTAACACTATCACCCTGTGGGGATTTCCTCTAATGTCGACGAGAGTGGCATGAGATTCAAATCGAAACCAAAACCAGGCAGACAGGTTTTTAAATGGAAAATGATTGACTGAAAATTCATATGGTTTTGCGGTTAGCGTGGAACCAAAACGGGGTTGCCAATAGCCTTGACCATGAAAAAGGCGAATCTATAAAAACAGGATCAAACCTGAGAGTTTCTTTTCCTTTTCATCTTATGGTGTATTATGCTTACAAAGATTGGAAGATTGAAGAAATATTTCTCTCCTCTGGCAGTGCTTCCTAAGTAATCTGCTGTTTCTAACCGTATTTAATCGCGGGAAAGATTTGTTTAACCAAGCAAAGCCGCAGTTTTGACTGATAACAGAGTTGTATTTTCCAAGGACCCATGCAAAGCTCATTTCCGTGAAAGCTGTGTTATAATCGGTGTTTTTTCACTCGTCGAATTGTTGCGCTTTCTCCGAAATCATTTTTACTAAAACTAATCCATTCTATAACGAGAAAATTCAGGTCATCAGTTTGAAACGTTTCCGCAAATCGCACGGTTCTTGAAGGCAATCCATTGCAATTCAAAACTACTGTAGTTAAGTCGATTTGCAGAATTGCGTCTGGGTGATTTTTTTGTCTTTAAATGGCTGTCTAAATATGTGCAATTTGAGAAGCTGAGCTAGACTAATCATGAAGGAGTGTACCATTAAAATTTTGCATGCAATTTATGTTTTCTTTTAACAGCAAGACTTCTTGCAAGGTAAACAAAGCTTCTTCAGTAATACTCAGGAAGGAAATTATTAAAACAAGTACTTTTTGTTCGTTCTTCCTTTTCTAGTTGATTTGCCTCTGTTAATTCTGCGATAAAGTGAGAATCTCGCAAGAGCGGATTGTGAATATCCCCCACTGTTAAGAAAATCGAATTGTTTTGCCCCGGGTATTCATGCAAGGTTACCAATATCGCATATCATACTTGCAATGCAAATAATTGCTCAAGACTAGACGTTTGAAATGAGTGCAGAACAATTCGACAAATGCTTCAGTCAAATGAAACGTGACATGGCCCTGTTAAACACACGATCTGTTAAATTTATCAGATTTTAATTCAATTAACGACTTTCAAACGAGATCAGCACAAACTGAAATGGACTGCCCTCATGGAATCTTCGCGCTGAAAACTTTGGGTCTCCGTAAGGTCTTTTGAAAACAACTTTTGAGGGATTTCCGTTGGACTTTTACGGCGAAGTGTTTTATTTGTGGTTGTGTGGTTGCTTTTGTTTGTCGAGCTTGTGCTTTGAAATTCCAGCTGAGGACTCACAGTGCACTGTTTGGTGTCTCCTGGTGTAAGTGAGCGCGCGTGTTGATGACATCTCAAACAGACAACACTCCAATTCATTGGCTGAAGTTACCGGAAGTGCCGCCTCAGGGGAACCCGACCGATTGGGTATAAAAGTCAGGCAAATTATTTCATAGTCTAACTGCACGAACCGCTATTGCAATTGCGTAAATGACCTTCCTGTCCTAAAGAAGAATATTCGCCGAGGATGTCGACTCTACTTTCATCATCTTTCTTTTCACATCCAGCCAGTAGCTTTCAAAACTACTTTCTCACGAACGTCGAGAACGAAAAGGTAAGCTTACCGTTTACCGTTCAAATTATAACTCCTTCTATTCGACAACAGTTGTTTTACTTGCTCTTCACACAATCTTCTTTAGTTTAGCTATAGTTAGATTGCGTTGGCGTATAAACAAAGATTAATTCAGACTAGAACATGAGGTGCATGCCCGCTTTGATCTTAGCACCCTGTAGATTTTTTGCGATGTGACTCATCATTTCATTACCACACAATCGACATAAAAGTCTTCATTCGCCAGATGCTCTTGAAATTCAGCTTATGACACTACGTTTCGTACGATAACTCGTTGATTCCTACGCGTATCACTTTTCCGAGCTTGCGGTTTTTTCGTTTTATTATAATCATCGATCGAACAACGAACCTCACTATTTCGACGTGTGATTGATTTCAGATCTCACTGTCTGAGTGCGTTTCGTGAAATGATTTTGACCTCCTTCGACCTCCATGCCTACTGCCTATTTTTCCATGAATACACATACACATCTGATGGAAGTCATAATAAAGATCTTGTCAGATTCTCCGTGTTAAGATTGTCATTTCATTGTTTTCATACGCGTCATGGCACTTATGTACACGCCAATTTACTTTTCACGGAACGATCTCGGTTCAAAGTTTCATTACAATCAAGAGTACTTAGACTTAATTCGCTAGACGCCTTCGGCTCGGTTTACTTTTAAGTAAAATTTTTTGCATTCCTTGCCCTTTAGGCTTGTACAATTCTGCGTACAACTGTCATTGAATGTCACGTGGTTTATCTTAGCCGCAGACAGATACAACGGTCTTGTTCCTTTAAAGCCATGTGAAATGCCGATAAATCATCTTGCTGTTGCACTTTCCTCTAAGAATACCGTCCGCCGCGGTTGCCAACACATGTTGCAGCCTGAACAAATCGGTCTAAAAATAGATCCTAAACACACTGAGACAAAAAAATTGATGGATATATTTACGAGGAGGGCCAATTTGAATGCTATGCCTGTTACTAATGTTTAAGACTTTTTATCTTTCCTGATAATCTTGCGTGAGAAACCATTATAATTCGCGGAAATTGGCTGCTCTCGTCTGGGCGGTTCTGCTATATTCCTCTAATTCCCTCTTTTACCATTATTTGATTTGCGAACTTTACATAAAGAGGTTTTTCAAGTCCCGTTTCACCGGAAATATTTGTGCTTACAGATCTCCTTAAGAAAATATCACGTTTTTTCGTTTCTAGAATTTCTACAAATCAGCCAAGGTTGAAGATTATGACCTAGACATATTGTCCGAGGATTTCTACCAACATCTCGACGATCTCGACTCACCTTTGTACATCGACGAGCAACAAGCTTGGTCTTTAGACGATGAGGACGAGATTTCAAGTCTTGCTGTGAGCTTACAGAACACGCTACTCCTTCAGAGGCAAAAGAAGAGACCAAAACGACCACCAGAGGGATATCTATGTCACCTTTGCTTCTGCAAGGGCCATTATATCAAAGACTGTCCTCAGGTTGGTAAATTTTCAATTATATTTTTACGTACGCTTTTATATCAAAATTTAGAGAGTTCAGGTCAGATATTTTTTTGTCAACAAATCGACTTTTGTCTTGAGTTCACGGTTTGCCCTTGTAGCCGTTTGCTCTTAGAATGCACTGAGTTTCCGGATTAGACAAAGCGTTGAATAGGCTTACCTTTTTTATCTTTCTTTTATAGTGTGTTAACTATAAATAGTCGTTCTTTGACTGGGAAGATTTCTCAAGTTACTATCTCCTTTCGTCAGTTGCTCGCATCGGTTGTATTCTGCTGGAGTATGTCAGTGTAATGTTTCGAGGTCCTTACTTTTTTTTTCACTCTCAATCTTTCAACAATAGGTTTACTTACGAGTTTCTTTATTTTACGATACTTATAAGTTTCTAAGAAGTTTTGAGTTATAAGCAATTTTAGTCAGAAAGTATGAAAAGTGTGTTGAAATGCAGCGGTGTCAACTGCACTGTCGCCAAACCTTACTCATTGATGAACTTTGCTTATGTGTAATCCTTTGTAAAAACAATATGTTTCCCATTACAAAACTCAGCCTGACAAGCGAAAACAACAGTAGTTCTTCTGTATAAGCCGATTAAGTAGTCCACGGGGCAAATTTCAAATCATATCAATTTGTTGTCAAACTCTACTTTGTCTGAGTTTAGTCGGCGATATCACGTGTCTTTTGAAGTTATTAATTACGTGAGACATTCTCGTCTAGGTATTCTGCAATCTTTTAAGCGTAGCATAAGTATTTTTAGTTTAAAGTTTGTGGAGAGCGAAGGCTTTTCTTCTACGTCTTGGGTGGCAGTTTGGAGTTGTTGTTGTAAACTCCGACTTCGTCATAGAAGATGAAATGCATACCTTTGGTGAAAGATCCTTTTTCAAATTGACCTGGCGATCAGTTCTTAGAAATAGCTGAATGTATTCATTTAACCTTTGGAACGAGTCATTGAATGTTTCTTTTCAATTATTTTCTGCATTCTTTTCAAAGAACACAAAAAGCAGTTTAGTAGACTTTGTAAAATGGCGCCGGATACTTTTTTCAGAAAAGCCAGTTGCTGGTACTATATATTCGCCGAGTACAGCGTATGTTTAGTTTTGTAAACAAACAAACTTCCGAAAAGTGTTTTGCGAAGATGAAAATGAAGCATTTCTGACGCAATTGCTTAGAGAATTTTAACACTGTGCGAAGTTTGAAGTTTGATACGTCCAAACTACTGTAACTCGGCAGCTTTGAGTATTTTTAATTTTCACTTATTTTGAGTTGTTAAAATAGATTAGACTGCTGTGAAATGAAACCATGCATATTTCCTTTTCCTGCGTGTATAACGTTGCATTCATCAAAATACATTGTTTTGTCCGGCTCCTTGTGGCTTTCTCAGCTTGAAGTTGAAAAAACTATGTGTATCTGTGTGGCTTCTCCGTAAGAAAACTGTGTTTGGATTAAATAACAATTTCCGTTGCGTTTTCGTAAGGTCAACGTTGAATTCTCACGAGAGCAATTCTTGGGAAGTCAAGCCTTGTTAAATCTTTGCAAGCGAAGGTGATTTCATACTTTATAATTCCAGGGGGATGAAAGAATTTCTTTTTTTGGCTTTGTTAAGTCGGAATATATTGTTCTTTTTGGGTGAAAATATCTTATGAGTCTTAGTTGGAAGCTTGCTAAAGTATGATGCAAACCCTAAAGTGATGTCGGTGTTAATTCGACTCTGAAGTATTCTAACTTCAATCTTCGTTATCCGGCGACAGTCAATTCAGTTATATGGGCTAACTATATGGGCGCCCTTTTTGCAGCTCTAATTTGCTAAACAGTAAACCAGCTTCTCAGAACTTTTGAAATTATTGGAGTATACATAGCAAGACTAAACTGACCAGTCACTTTGACTTGATGATATATGGGAGCATAAATGCCACATTCATACGGTTTTTTTCTGAATGGAAAACCCATTAAATTTTCAGTGCAGTTCTGGATGTTTTGTTCTTGTCAACTTTTCTGTCGTTGTAAACACTGAAAGATCCAACAAACTAACCTTTGAGTTTCACGATCATTTCGTCTCGTTATCATTTACAAATAATATATATCAAGCTTTAAATTCTTAGGTAAATTTCATCGTTGTTACACAGGTCTATTTTTCTTACATCTGGAGACGTACAATATATATTTGACTCTCATAAAACGTAACGATGCTTGGAATTTTAATCTAATGGTGGTGTTTTGCAATTTGTTACTTCTACCTAAACAAAAGTGAAAGAAATTAAAACAAGCTTTTCAGAAGTCTAACTTCAAAGACAACGTTTTGCGGATGTTACACTTGTTTTATTTCCCCTCCTTGATTTAGGACTACATAACTTTTTGGATTTGATGACAAGCGGGCGTTTAAACACAAAACGTAATCAGTAACACTTGGAAACATGAAGGTGTATTCTCCAGATATTAAATTGTTCAAAAATTGTTTACGTTTCTGAATGAAATTAGAGAAAAGCCAAAAAGGAAATAACACAATGAATTCCATCTGTATTTTCTGTCATAATATTTGTTTTGGTTCGTTCCAATTAATGGCAAAAAATGAACTTCGTTAAAGTAATTATCGTTTCCTTTAACGTGATTATTTTGTTCTCAGTAACCTTGAAAGCAGCAAGGGCACTGTAACTAAAGCAGATTGCCGGTTCACGCATAAGAGTGATTTCATATAAATTTACAAATGTAGGAATGATGTCAAAACATGTCAAGTCGTGAATAGATTTGTTGTATAATGCAGCACAACTCTTCAGAGTATTCAGATAAGCGTCAACTCTATCATTTTGCCTATTGGTTTAATTTTTCAAAATCTCTTTTACAAAAATTTCAGGCTAGACCAAAGGGAGAGGGCCTCACTCCATACCAAGGGAAGAAACGATGTTTTGGAGAATTCAAATGTCCTCTGTGCAAGCGAAAGTGGATGAGTGGTAACAGCTGGGCGAATACTGGGCAACAGTGTATTAAGTGCTACATAAATGTGTATCCGCATAAGCAAAGACCGCTGGACAAGCCTGACGGTCTCGACGTATCCGATCAGACCAAGGAACATCCTCAAGATCTCTGTGAAAAATGCAAGGGCCTCGGTTACTATTGTCGCCGGGCTCAACAGAGTTAAGAAAATTAGACCCTCTTAGTGATGCCTAAGTTCAAGGAACACTGGCAAACTCGGCAATTTTGGATTTACTCAGGGGTGGGGGTAGGTAGTATTTTGAAAACGAGTGATTTTGATAGCCTTTTTAGATTGTCTTCTGTGAAGACCACATCACCAGCTGCCATGTAGCCGTGATTATCTCTGATGAACCGGGAGTATTACATCATTTGATGTGATCTCTCTGTTCTCATTGAAATCATACGCGCCTTAAATTTGAAAATATTGTCGACATCTACTCCACTTGAAAGGGAGACCAAATTGCAGTAAATGAGATCCTTTTTTAACTTATCTAAATCATTGTAAATTATTTCGCTTGCTTGGTTTGAACTGGGACGAAGTCTTACTCTATAGTACTGTTTACACATACTTATTTTATGGTCGCGAAGAGTTTTGTACAATGTCGTCAGAATACAGTATTTTAATAAGGAAAATAGTTAGATAAAGAAAAAAATTCTATTTAGTATTCTACTTTATGACGCGTCAGATTTACGTTTTTTTTTTGGCTGGCCGAGTGAACGTTTGACATGTTCCAATCAAACACAAAATCGTTTTTTTTTTAATGCCAGGAAATTTAAAGGAAATTGGAATTTTGGTATATACTTTACCAACACAACAAAATGTTTGTTTTATTTCTATATAAAGAATAATAGATGAAAACTATTTTGCGAGGTTATTTTCAGCTACTCAGAAATTTATTTTCAAACAAATGAAAGATATGACGAACTGGAGTTGTATTCATTTATTGCATTTACACCGAGGGAGTAATATTTTCTACATAAAAAAATTATCTTTAGATTCAAGTGGTTTTGTTGATATTGCTGTGATTGTAAGTAATCGTTAATTCCGGATATCAGGTTTTTTGCAGAAATGTTATTGTATTTCTCTCAAAAGATACCATTGGCTTTTATGCTGAGTATGTACATTTAAAATTAGTTATAGTTTAAAGGGTTTCGTTTGCCTTTATGAGTATGAAATACAGAGGAATTTTTCAATGGTTTTCCATTAGAGAAGTTTTCAATGGAGTGTCGAAAAGAATCCAGGACCTCATAGGTTCCTCTTTCCCTCTCTATGATTGGTTCAGAAAACCCGCACCATCCTCTCAACCAATTAGGAGCAAAACTAACAACAGGATGGCCCGCGTTTTCCCGCGCTTTGGGTAGCATGACTGTTTTTGCTTTGAATTCTCATTGGCTCTTAAAAGTACTTTCCTTTCATCTGATTGGCTGTTGCGATTACTTTGGTTTTGGGTTTACGACACTCAATCGTAAAGAGCTCTTTTAAAGCAGAGGAAAGCATGCATTATTTTAAAATTCTCGAGTTACATTCACAATCGACGAATGGGACGGAAAAATCAACATTTGCTTCTTACCTCGCGCTTAACTGGCTACTATTTTAAACAAAGAAGCACAGAGATTTCGAAAATGTTACTTATTATATCTTTACAATATACTTCTAGGTCATTTGAAAGCGTTCTGATAAAGTTTTTAATTAATACTATACACGTTATAGTGTAGAGTGATAGTGTGTTGATATAAGAGATCATCAAGAGAAACTCGGAGATATATTGTCAATTATTGCGTACGCTAGGACAACTGAGGAGAATTTAGTGTTATTTGCTTCTTTTGTCAACGACGAGGCACAATTTAGACCAAAAAAAAAACAAGTGAGAAAATATTATGTTATTATTTGGTGGAAAAACTGTTTAATAAACTTGTGGGAACTTTCGTCAACATGGTTGTAGTTATCAATCGTGTGAAATACAATGATAGGGCACCAACCATTATTATCGCCTCAGGGTGAGGGGGGGGAGGTATCACATGTTTTCAGGGGGAACGGAATGGAGGTCAATCGTTGTCATCAAAGTATGAAGGGGGGGGGGGGACTTTAGAAAATTGACTGCCAGTGAGGGAGTGGATCAGGTAAAGCAAAATCCTGGAACCCCCACCCCCCCTCCACCAGGGTGGTAAATCATGTCCTGTCCCTTTCTGTTTTATTTTGGACAGTACTTCTTGCCTCTATCGAGTGGACTTCAATGAAATGAGGGAGAGGGGCTTTTTCCACTTATCCAAAATCTCTCCTTTGTACCGCGAAATTCACCTTTTCTCAGTACTCACTCTCCCTGACATTCTTCTAGTGTTTTCCCAAAGTATTAAATTTAACCCCTCTCCCTACAGTTAGCTATTCGTGATTATTTTCGAACACACTTTTTTAACACAAAAGGTCTGCAATGCGTACTTGTGTGGCTCAAATGTACCTTAGCAGGAGCCCATCACTTTGATGGGCTCCTGACTATAGTCGCGGCTAATCACGTGAGACTGTGAAAGAGGATATATTAAAACAGAGAAAATACAAATCATGCTAAAAATTTTAACACTTCTTCAATCGTCACCAGTTGAGGGGAACATTTCTCTCCAATAGAGTAGATTGACGCAAATAAGGTGGCAAAGTTCTGAAGTGAGCGACTCAGACAAAGAAACAGAGTAGACAGAATTTTTTAGACAACAGGAAAAAAATATTTCTTTTTCCTGTTGGAGAGAAACATATACAACGCACAAACGATATTTGTACATTTGTCTTCTTAAGGGAACGAATCTCACCACTTTTTCTAGCTTTCCTTACAATGTTTGTAGATCTCCACGTCGCGTGAATAATGCTATTTCGCTATTGAGTCCAACAAGTCAAAAATGTCTGTCGAGTTTCAAGAATTCTATGCGAAGGAAATGGAAATCTGTCTTCCTGGAGTTTTAACAACATTTATTTATCTTCTGGACTCAGGAATATTCGAGGGCCCTGGCATAGCCGATGACAGGATTACATGGTGGGCGAAGAACAATGGGTAATCCTGCGTAGGGGTACCAATATTCGAAGGATACCAAAGCGTTACACCATTTGGCCGTGGGAGGTCTGGGTAATACATTACGTTTCCGTATTCCAGTCAGATTCATCGCCACAGTTATGGTACAGGTGGGAGGTTAGCTGCGAGTCATGGAAATATTACAATATAAACATGATATATATGCGTGCGTTATGGATATCATCATTATGTTTTTTTAAGGATTATTTTTGTCTCCTTCGAGATTCATATGATATTCTGACCTTATACGCGTTTTTACTGGTTCTCACTGATGATCTATTGGTTAACATTATTTTGCTTTTTTAACCATGTAAAGCTAATAGATTCCATGTTGCCACAGGTATACACAGTCATATATCATAGTTCTAGACGTCAAAACGTTATAAGTGCATTATTAAAGAAATAGAAACGCGCCGAGTGCATTGTTGAGTTATATAAGCGCGCGGGAATTTTTAAGAGCACGAGAGAAGTGCGGAGAAGTGCTGAACATTTCATAAAACTCGTTATAAATGTTTAGAGAAATGTGCGCGACGTGATTGGTCAGAACGGGTTTATTATATTTCCATATAGCACGTGCCATATGTCACAATTTACGATACATAATGGTAATAAGACCGAGTGGAGTCCAATTCGGTCAGTAATCATACGAGTGACAAAATTTGAGAAAGAAACTAGACATCGGTTATGCGTTTTCATTTTAAAGAAAAGCAACAACAACAGTTAACTCGGCGGAATGCGGGACAACAGCGTGCGCGCATGACGCGTTCTATCCACTTACACAGGCATGACGTGTTAACTGTCCTATTACACTGTCCGGCAATTACAAGCATGACGCTCATACTGTCCTATCAGTGCTCAAATCGGGCTGTTGATGACCAATCACGTTCGAGAATTTTGTTATAGTTTTGATTAGTTTTATAAAAGAAATAAAAACTTGTTCCTCGAGCATTGTTGAATTATATAAGCACTTGGGGATTTTTAAGAACACTCGAGAAGTTTGAGAATCACTTACCCTCGGCTCGTGCTTCTTCGCACTTCTCTCGTGTTCTTAAAAATTCCCGCGTGCTTATATAACTCAACAATGCACTCGGCGCGTTTTTCATTTCTTTAACACTCTTACCACATTTTTTACGTCATCTGGGATCTGGGGTCTGTTCTATTGACCAGACGCATGGAACAGTAACAGATGTTCAAGGCGAATTATGTTCGGAAAACATACAATTTCTATCTACACCATTTCAAAGAAAATATGTCATTATAAAACTCCCATTTCAGATTTCAACGAGTATCCTAATCGTTTGAAGATGTTGTCGAATGTGTGAGACGACTAAGCCATCTTGCTTATCAGCCTGGCCTCGGTTGTTCAAAGGTTAGATAATGTTATCTACTAGATAACCTCTAAACGATGGTTAACGCTATATGCTTTGCTATCACTTATTGACCGGATAGCGATTTATCCGTTGGATAGCGTTATTCGACCTTTATACAACTGGGTAGTGACCGCTTACCCGTGACGAAACAAAATTTCGACCCTCTTTTTTCCGTCTCTTTAGGATCTCTTTTAGCGATGTAGAACTACACAAAAAGGCATTTTTGTCGAAAATATTGGCTTAATTTTCGCAATAACCAAGGCTGTGGTTACGGCCAGGTTTTCAAAATGGCAGCGTCCAGAGTAGAAGTTTTAGAACACTCAAGTCAAGTTGCTTCTTTTAGTTTACGTGTAAAATAATGATTATGTGGTTTCTAGACTAACGGGCCATGCAATGGACATAAATCTAAAATAATGTACAAAAATGTCTTAGTCGGAAGAACGGTGTAATGCGTCCTATATGGTACCAGGAATAATACTGTAATGCTTTGATTGTGGTCAAGTCACACTTGAGCAAATTTTATCAACTTTGTTGGATGCCAACAATGTTCACAAAATGTGGGTTTTATACGACACAGTGACGAATTAAAGCGTGAAAGCAAAAGCTCGCAGTACAAAGGTCAGAGAAGTATACTCTCTCTGTTATATATTCACGACAACGTCATGAGACCCATCCTGGTCTGATCCCAGAGCCGTTTTACTTGAGGGTCAAGCGTGTAAACCCTTTGGTTACCCCGTTTCCCCCATATCTTAGGTCTGCAAGAATGTTGGATGAACTTTCTCTTGTCTAGGGGTGGAGAAAGTTGATTTGATGGAAACGAGTTATGTGCGCTAGTGTCTGATCAGCAGTTGTTCTCCTACCAATAGTTGCTTCATATGCATTTATTTGGAACCGAGATCATATAAAGCCTTAATATTTGTGAAAGTTAACGTGTTTATGTAAACAACTAATCCAAAACAGATTTCCGATTCTATCACGTTTTCGCCCCGAAATTAGAATTCAAATTTTCCGTTTCGGCTGCGTCCAATCAGTATGACCGCGTTCTTAGGGCCTGGTAACTAGTGTCATTGTTTCGGGTAATGTTTACGTTCAGAACTCCAACATTATTTGATTGATTGTCCTTCGTTTTGAGTATTTTCTTTTTGTTAGCGATTGAACAAGATACCAAAGACGAACTTGCAAAGGATCAAAAGGATGTATCCACGATTTGCGAAAAAATGTTAAAATTTCAAAACCCTGTAAGCAATATCACACGTTATATAGACACTTATATAGATCACCTCTTTAATCTAATTTGAATATTCTTTTCTGAATTTGGAAATATCATACTGAGTTTTGTCCCCTATTGATCGAGGATTTGACGGATTTGACGAGGATTTGACGAACTTGCGTAAACATGTTTCTATTTACATGGCAGCGTTGGGCCGGTTTTTTCTGTGATCCTGATTGGTTTAAATTGATTGCCATGATCAGATGATAGAGTTCATTTAAGGATAGACACCATCAAACGATATGGCCCGTCTAGTAGGAAATACCTGAATAAATACGCGTCGGTCTAAAATGAGTAACATCGGTAAACTTTGTTCTAAAATAGTCCTTTGATTTGTGGGGGTAAATGTTTGCGATATTTTAACAGGGGTGTGTTAAAAAAGAAAATTAAAAAAAAAAAAAAACGTATTGGTGATGTTACCAAGGACAATTGGAATGATTCCTCGTTTGTTATGTGAGCTATTTCTCTGTATTGCCTCCCTCCTCTATTGGCTTTCTCTAATCAGCGACAACTTCCCCCTCAAAATACGCCAGGAATGTAGACGTGTGACATCGATGTAGTCGCCTTTAAGGGTCAGTTTGGGTTCTAACTTAAATATCATGAATAAGTTCTTTTCTCAATACCAAACCCCATCTTTCATTTAAAAATTTTGTTCTCTCAAGCATGGAAAACAAATGTTATGAAGAGTTAGCGAGCTAGAATGGATGGAAAAGAATACTCCAGTTCCGAAGGTGTGTCTCGAAGCCAATCATGTTCCATAACTATCAATCCATCGTGTACGAGCCAATCAGAATGTCGCTCCACCCGCGACTCGGTTCTCTGTGCGTTGGATGACTGTAATGTTTGTAAATTAGTGTCGTGTGAGGTGTTCTGTGGACGTAATATTTGGAAGCTGTTTCCAAATATTGAGAAATGGCGGGTACTTCTTACACGGCTTCACTTCGAGGAGGTGGCCCGTGGGGTTTTCGACTGCAAGGTGGCAAAGATTTTGGCAGTCCTTTGGCGATTTCGAAGGTATCACTCGATGTAGTTTTCTAATTCATAGGGTAGTTCGAATGACTGGGGTGCAATGTAATTGTGTGTTTAGCTAAACCTGACTGATTTGCACGCGATTTCGACGCTCTTCTTTATAGGTGACACCAGGTTCTAAAGCCGATCTTGTTGGAATAAAATCAGGGGATTATATTCGCGAGGTAAATGGTGACACCACGGAGAACATGA